CCAAACACTCTAAACGCGTGATGTTGATTCAAAATGTGGGGGGAAAACCCCGAGGACCCGGAGAAAAATCCACATGGCCACGGGGAGAGAGACACTGCAAACCCTCAAATATATAGCAGGCGTCGGGGTCGGGATCGAACCCACGAGCTCCTGCATACCAGGCGAGGTAGTTAACATCTCCTAGCCACCGCGGCGCCACCAGCAGCATCACGATTGTCGATTCCAATAGCAGCGATTTCAGAAGCGTCACAATCGCCAGCAACAGTAACCGAAGCAGCATTGACGGTTGCGGAAGCGGCATCGGATTGCAAGCAGCAGCAATTTGGCGGTGACCGTGGGCCGGTAGCAGCGCCGTTTGCCACTCGTTGGTTCACGGTTCAACCCCGACGGCCTCCCTGTTCATTCCTGCGGCCGACCATAACTATGCATGTACGTGCCGTCTGCTTCAAAGGTGGATGATCAAGATTTTGTGATGTAATTCGTAAGATATTGTGTGCCGGGGTCATTGTTCGAATTTTCCAATATTTTTGAAAACCCAGGTGAACAGTGGATGTCACTCAACACTGCCATCTTCCAGGCCACCTCGCAGCCAAGCGCCGTCACTCGGTGAAGTTAGCCGTGCCGCTAATGTGATCCGAAGACTGAACAATAATAACAATAATCGTACTTTCATTTTATGTCGCGTCATTTAAGCTAATAGCATCCCAGAACGCTGTACATTAATTAACTACCATAATGAGCCAAGAATGTCTGTGTGTCCCACGCGTGACGTTACTCCACGTCGACCAGCCCCCCTCATTAATAATCCTGAACAGATTACGTCCTCCACATGGACCCCCCCCCTCATTAATAATCATGAGCGGGTAACGTCACTCCACATTTAACAACCCCCCTCATTAATTATAATCATGAACAGGTGACGTCCTCCAAATGGACACCCCCCCCCTCCATTAATAATAATTATCGGGTGACGTCACTCTACATGGGGGGGGGGGGCGAGGCGCCTCCTCCCCCCTCCTCGGCGTCAACTCACAACCCTCACGACAAAGGCAGAACCCTCACGTCACGCGATCTCCGTCACGCTGTTGAGACATAGAAGTAAAAAGGACGTCATGATGAACAATGGATTATAACCTTTAAATGAAATGAGTCTGTGTCACCGCGCCCTTACAATTTGCACACGAATGGATGCAATGAATATATCACGTCGTGGTCTGCTTTGCGCTTGCAAGTTTCATATTTACTGCAATACACCCGTCCTTGGAAGGGCAAAATGCTAATTATATACTGTATAAGGACTAAATCCCATATACGGCCACTACCAAGCAAGTGAAAACCCTAATACAACCAAGAAAAATAATTTAAAAAGTAAGAATAAACAAATTAATAAATTGCCCCAAAACAAACTAAAATCACGAACAAAAAAGTTATCACAACAAATATATGATGGAAATATATAACAAAAAGGAATGTAATGCATATATAATCCAAGTAATTCCCTACGTTGCTTGCACATCGTGTACATGATTGCATTTGCGCACGGCGAACAAAATAAGCTGCAAACAACTGAAAGACAAATTGACTTCAGCCATTCAATAACCTCTGGGTTATCAGCATGGACTCGTTACTTACTAATCATTTTGTATTCGCTAACTGCACCAACTGACGCCTGATAATTATTCGACCCCAGGCGAGCATGGGCATTCACACAATAAACACATTCCTGCGGAGGAAGCTGGTAGGAACGTTGGGTTGCTCGGTCAATGCCCAGGGTCAACGGCAGCGTGGTGTATTCCGCAAATATGGCCGACTGTGAGGGCGGGCACAAGCCGGCGTGAGTAGGTTAAACGTTGAGTTTTATAAGGGCACCATGGGGTGACCAGCCCCTCCTCACCCTCCCCACCCAGCCCCTCCCTCCCCACCCAGCCCCTCCCCACTCTCCCCTCTCCACCCAGCCCCACCCCTCCCATTTTTGGATGCACGACGGACGGACACAAGAATCCCCTGTGGGCTGGTGTAACCTGGCGGTTCCTACCAGTATAAACAGTTTACCTGTAACAGATTGCCTCCAACCTATCAGTGTCAGCGACCCAGCTGACTCGGACCAATGTGATGTGGCATCATGACGATGCCACGACGCATCACCAAATGCAGGAAACCGATCGAGATATATGTGGATTCCCTAAGTGAACAGAATTAGTGTCCTCAAGTCCAGTCACCAACGACCACAACAAAATAATCATATCAAACGAGGCTGTTTCAATTCCTTTGTTTTGATTTTACCCCGGCTCTGAGACGTAAACATTTCATTTGATTCACGTGAGACGAACACTGCAGTACTGTAACAAACACGTGTGCAGGCACCGGTAGACACACATAATCACTGAGCCAACTCACAAGGCATGGGAGATGATATCAGAATGCATTATAGACAAACAGAAAGTCGCTCTATACTCTTTCACGGTGTGCGCTCAATGCCAAATCAGAAATTATTATTTTTTAACTAGCCAGGCGTTATAAAACTTTTTTGACAACTATAATTGGGAGAGGCAGAGCTGCAACTTTTGCTGTTTCTATATGTGGCCGGCATGCACTCTGGCAGTGGAACAAGGTCGTTAGTAAAGTTCCTTCAGCGGGAACATTGGGGCTTTTGCGGATGCTGTAACACTCCACCAGGGAACACGTGGGGCTCTGTGTATGTCCGTTGAACCGGTGTTGACCACACGCAGGAATCGAACCCGGGTTGCCGGGATCATCGTGCAGTGCGCTCACCGCTATACTACCGTTCCCCAAACCAGTACGATACATACAAAAAAAGATCCCCTGTATAGCCTGAACAGACTATTGGGGCAAGTGCTGTTAGCGAGCACCTATGAAGGCCAGAACGGCACACGAGGGGGTGGGTGGCCAGCACCACACCCGGCCGAACTTTGTCTCTTCAGTGGCGATGTTTTTAAGCACCGAACCAGCTACTCATTTGTGGCTGAATCGACCTAGGTGATACCCAGGACCGGATCAGATAATCGTCACTGATATTCGCCATGAGCAGGAATCGAACTCAGGTCCGCCAGGTTCGTAGCGCAGCGCACTAACCGCTATACCACTGCTCCCCACAACACATGCACACACGCGCATACACATTTACGGAGACATGTGGACCTGTGCAGTGACATCGCGGACGTCACTGTGTGGCAGAGGTCGCAAACGGGTTTTGATTCATTACCCGTACCCGGCCGCACCAGGGTCGCAAATCGGTACCCATACCCGGTCGGGTACGGGTACCCGTTCCCTACCCGTACCCGTACCCGGCCGCACCAGGGTAGGGTACCCGTACCCTACCCGAAATGAGTGACAAACGGTGACTCACCAGTGACTCACGGCTTACCCGTACCCGTACCCGGCCGCACCAGGGTCGCAAACGGGTACCCGTATCCGGCCGGGTACGGGTAGCCGGGTATCGGGTAGGGTACGGGTATCGGGTACCCGATTGCGACCTCTGCTGTGTGGTGCCCGCCCCAGAGAGACACGGCGTGCGAAGTATTGACATCGCGGACACCCCGCACACGTGGCTGATATAGAGCGCTGAGTGGCACCACGCTCGGCGTGCAGTGCTGTCCCCTATAGGAGGAGGGGGTGTGAGAGTGCCGGCCATGAATGGGGTGAATGTAGGCCATGGCACTCTGGTTCACCCTGGAAGGCACGTGACGGGTAAAGTCTACACAGGTGCCCCAAGTGGGGGGCTAGGGGTGGTCACGTGTCGGGGCGAGATCCTGCAAGAGGATTCGAGAAGGTGGTCGTGGCCAAGGGCGGGGCCAGCCACGACCAGTGAGGATGTAAGCTGGGTCCGGGGTTCAGTGTTGCTGTTGTTATCCTGAAGTTCTACGTTCTACGTCTGAGAAGAGTCACCAACACGTGGACCTGGACCCAAGCTGGGGTCCTGTTCGTTGTAGCTACTCCCAGTGTGATTAGTGTAGTTAGCCTGGGGGTCCACCACCACAGATTGTGATCTGGTAAAGGGGCAGTTATCCCGTGTGTTGGTATCAATAAATGTGTTGCCTCCAACGAGTACGTCTGCGACTCAGTTGAATCCACAACTGGATAACCTTTTACAGACTGGCATTGAGCAGATAATCAGACCATCTCGGCATTTGAGGGGCTGGTGTTCCCAGCATCACACCTGGCCGCCTTTGTATGCATATATGTTGAACTTCTTTTACACAGTACGTAGCCAACCATGCTAATTGGAGGTGCGGGGGAAGGACGAGGCTGTGGACCCACGCCGTTGCACTTTCCAAGCACCGCCACAAAACGGATTCCCGTCTCGATGGCTGTCAAACTAAATTGCGTGGCTTCGGAGGCGGCTGCTGTCAAACCTGCGCCAGTTCGTCTGCCGTACGTCAGGGAAGGGACCACGCTGGGGGCAAAGGGGCTGGACGTTGATTGGCCGAGTGCCGCGCTACAGCAGGCAATTACATTTTGCACGTAATGTCCAATGATGACCTGAGAGAATGTGTCACAGCGCCTGCCAAGAGATGTCTTTGGTTGAGTAAAATCAACAAGCGGCATGTAAACTGCCCTCGCAACGCCGTCCCAATGAGCTGATACCTCATCTATCCCTTGTCTACAGGGCTAGATTAAACATGTGCATTGTTTGTATTCATTGACCAATGTGAGACTACAAAAATCACTATATTAATAACTTAATCTTGAGACAAAACTCATATCTTCAAGTCCGGAGCCTCGAGGTTTAAGTCACATTTTCATAAAAGTTAGATTTTGAAACAGATCTTACTGCATAAGATCTCGGATCCCACGTGCGCTCGCAAAAGTAACGCTGGAGGGTGAGGTGACGTCTTTCTGGAGCGCGTGCGACGAGAGTTGCATCAATGAGCCATGCTCAGTTTTCCCTCGAACAGTGACACGATCCTTTGCCCACTACGGGATCCAGTCACGGTCATGATAGCGCGTAAAAGTTCAACATACGTGCATAGAAAAAGAGATGTAATTGACGATTTTATTTTTAAACCCCCAAAAGAAGAAAACAGTGGAAAAAAAACAAAGGTAAGAGATATACATACATGAAACAAGGTATCAAATAAGTATATCCTGGTGTCAATGTGAATATGAAAAGTTTACATGATTTAGCATTTACATGAGAACGATGTTCCAGATGTGGCCCTTTGGGAGGTGACCACTGCTATCTGCAGTGGGCAAAGAAGCAGAGCTCCTGGTGGAAATGGAATAACAAACTTCATAAAAGAAGAAAAAAAGCGTCAGTTTAATGTCTACACAAAAAAAAACTCAATCGTCCAATGACGTCTCAATCTTTTGAACGAAAGAGACGAAACATTTATTTGAAAAATCACGGACCGGTTATCCATTTTGTCACACGCACATAAACTGCTCACGAAGATCACAGACAACGAATAATGGGTCATTCAGCGGCCCACCAACAGCAAGACGGTGTTTGTAAAGGTTTTTCCACCATTAACTACGGTCATGCTCCAACATAAATTCTAGAAAAAAAGACGCCAGGAATGGTCCTCAGTGCCTTCAGTGGATCTCTAACTGCCACGGCTCGTTTTGCACAAATCATGGATACCGTTTATTTGTTCCGTTTTTCCTGATATCATCCTGGTGAGATATGTATTCATCTCACCAGGATGTAACCTTTCTTTTCATTTTCGTTAACATCACAAAACGTGTATTGACCATCATTTGTTTTCTCTGGCAGACCTGGGGTCAATTGTAATCCGTTGCAATTGTTTAGATTTTAAGTCTAAATCCAAACCGCCAAAGTGAATAGTATTATCTCTATTATTTGGTTCTTTCGGTAAAGTCACGTAGGTAGAAAAATTAAACAAAATAAAAAATAATACATCACTCCGTTTTGATCGCAACACAAGCGGTCGTTCTCGGGCGGAAAAAATAATCCAGCAGTGGAACTGCTGAACCAGGAAGAATATCCCAACGAGCCTTGAGGCCTCTTCTCGATCAAATCATCCAGGAATGGTAGCTTGCCATCATTTTCCACTTCCATGGTGAATTTGATAGATGGATGTATGGAATTGATGTGGTTGAAAAAATTGGTTCAGTGCTGGCTGGCCATGTGGCCAGATGACGAAAGTATCATCTCCGTACCTCTTCCACAGGGAAGGACGTAGGGTGGATGTCTGGATGGCATCTGTTTCAAATTTCTCCATGAACACATTTGCTACCACTGGTGATAAGAGAGAACCCATAGGGGTACCTTCATTTTGTTTGTAGAATGTACCATTCCAGATGAAGTGTTGGTAAGGCAGTGCCTCACCAAATTTGGTACATCAAGATCCAGTCTCTATTGGACAAAGTTTTCAATGATTGCTATGGTGTCAGGTACAGGTACCTTGGTGAACAGAGAGACTACATCGAAGCTGACAAGCAAATCATCTGGAGACAGTGAAATGTCTTCGATTAGAGAAACCAAGTGAGCTGAGTTAAGTACTGCTTCTGGCCACATGGCCAGCCAGCACTGACTTTACCGAAAGAACCAAAGAGTATGGATTCCTGCAGTCACGAAAGCTTCAAATCGAGTATTAGCTCTGCTGATGCAATTGTATTTGCAATTGACTCCAGGTCTGCTGTGTGCATTGTTTCAATGTGTAGGTTACCGTACACGAATCCAAGAAAAACTTAATAACATAACTTTTCATAGAACAAGCAATCAACTGTGATAACACACCTACATAGATGCCCATATATAAAAGAGGCAAATCTATCCATGGTATTTACGTTTTTGATGGTATTTATCTTTGTTTGTGTACCCATGTCCAGATAAGTCTTCCGAGACTGCTTCAGCAAGTTTCAGCTGCATCCTAATGTTAAGCGGTTTATGTGAACAAGCACAAAATCTCGAGCAATGTTAACCCACGACTCGATAACTAAGCTTGTAAGTCGCCGGTGCTGCTCATCCACTTTTCCATTTTTGATAATAGCCCAGGATGTGACTCGAACCCATGAAAATCATACAAGCCATTGGGGAGGGGAGTTGTCCATGGAACAGGCTTGCCCACTAGGTCCATTCATATTGTTTCATGAATTACAATAGATTCAGCACTCACTTGATGTCAGTTAACTACGTACGAAACAATGATTAATAACACATTTATAACAAGTACACTAGTCACTAACACCATGCCTTCGAGGTCAATAAATTATGCACCACTTTGTAGGCAGTCGACACAGATCCTATTTCACCTCTTATGCATCTACTGGCCACCAACGTAAGAATGTGGAATTGCCACAAATAGCAAGGCCACCAACAAAGATATTAGCATCAAGACACCTTCACTCTTGCAAGTACGTATGTTGAGCTTCTTCCGTACGTAGCCAACCGTGCTCATCGGAGGTGCGAAAGACTCTCGGACTTTTTTTTCCACGAAATCTGGTGAATGGGCGAGATGGAGCCCTGTTGCCTTCTCAGTGTAGGCTGTGACCGGCCACTACAGTTCTCTGTGCCCGATGACGCGGCCTTCGCTGCTTGTGCGATCATCCCCGGCCAGCCAGCGCTCGTAAATGTGGTAGGGATCCGTGTTCCAATGCTTGTGGAAGGAGACTGGGGAATGGCTTGTGAGATAGTCGAGCGGATAGTCCTCCGGCCGTGCCTGCAAACACAAACGCACGCTTCGTTAAGGTCCGGGACAATGAACGGAAGAAACTCGAATAGCCTGCGTCAGCTCACGAAGGAAATGCGCTGTGCCTTCATTTCACTATCCAACGTGCTTTGGTTTTGCCATGTGAGTGGTGCGTGTGACAAGTTAAACTCATGTTTGGGTCTTGAATTAGCCGAGCATTCCTCTGCGGCTGCTAAAATTTTGAACTGCTTTGTGGGAAGTCGTCGGCAACGGTTGTCGATGGAAATGTGAAAGTTCCATCACTGGCTCAGGTTCGCCAATATCTGTATGTTGAACTTCTTTCATACCGTACATAGCCAACCGTGGCAATCGGAGGTGCGGGGGAAGGACAACAAAAAGTGCATAGCTCTCGTCGCTTCCTAATATTGGAAGAGCCAATAGTGATGGGTGACGGGTGCCTTGCCACCGCAAGTTGTTTGAGCAGGGAGACGCAAAGTGCCCTAGTTTTCTGTCAATGTGTGTTGATGCAGCGCAAAGCGGTACTCGTTTTCTCGACCATAATGTTTGTTTTCAACTTTCCAACTGTTCGAGTTTAGCGCTCAGCCACCGTTAGCAATATAAACCAACACGTCGATAAAACATGGTTACTCAATAACTGCACAGTTATCAAAATAAAATATTTAAAAATACTTTTTAAAAACACGCTTTAATGAAATGTACTGTTCGAGCTGCCCCTCCCCCTGCCCCCTTCCCCCATCGCCCCTCCCCTCCTTCCACTTCCCCCGCCCCTCGGCGTGGGTCCCCGAGGCTTGCCGTGACGTAAGGGACCACGTGGTGATCTACAGGCAACGTGAGTTGAGCGTCGACAGTTAGAGCCGTAAACGTGGACAATTAAAGCCATAAAAAAAGATTGTTTTAAAATATCTTTTTTTTATTTTTAATGATAGAATATAGTATTGTCATCAGTATGACACACCTATACCAAGTTTGCAGTCGATAACGACATTGGGAATACGGTTGAAATTGAGTTACAAGATTTAAGGATACGACAACACACAGTAAGTTAAATAAAAGCATGTAAAATGTTTAAAAATAAATGTTTATGGATTTTTTTTATGATAGAATATAGTCTTGTCATCGGTATGACATACGTATACCAAGTCTGCAGTCGATAGCACATTGGGAAGTGGGTAAAATTTGAGTTACAATATTTTTTTTGGCAGGATACAACAGACAGAGTGAGTTAAATAAAAGCGTGTAAAAACATTTGTGGTTTCGTGACAGTGCAGTGAGCGCACCTGGTGGAACTGTGGGCTGTGAGTGGCAGGAATTGCCAGGCTCTTGAAGCACATGCCCAGCACCATGTCATCCGGAGCATCATCGCTGTAGCACTTGCAGCCACCGCCCATCAGCTTTTTCACTGCTTCGCGGCTGAACACCATTCTGCAACAGAAAGAGATGCGACTGCACCATCAATTCACCCTCAATGCACCCGTTCATGTTGGAAGTAGAGTTGAGCCCGAATGCATGTATGTTGAACTTCTTTCGCACCGTACGTAGCCCAACCGTGCTAATTGGAGGTGCGAGGGAAGGACAAAAAACTAAACACAAAAATCCAAATAGTTCCTTTTCTCGTCATGGAATTGGGGATTTGTTCAGAAACGCTGACAGATTTGTTTGTTTTAAAATCCTTTGGGATGGGAGACTGCAAGGGGTAACCAGGATTGGTATGTTAAGAGGCCAAGAGATATAAGTACAGCAAAGGATTATTGAATATACCTACGCATGTTACCTCCCTGTATGTGTGGTGCCCCCTTATGTGTCGGTCCTATCTGGGTACTACAGTTCCCTTCTGCATGCCGAATACTCATTAATGGAATTGGACAAACATGCCAATGCAGGACCCTTCTGAAAATGTGCTTGGGGACACCACGGTGGCGAGATGTTGACTACCTCGCCTGGTATGCAGGAGGTCTCCCCGTGGTCGCAGTGTATTATTCTCCGGGTGCTCCGGTTTTTCCTCTCCACATTTAGAATCAACTTGAAGCGTTCATGGAGTATTTGGCTGCTGCTATAAATGTCCACGTGATAAGCCACTCGTTGAGCTATCATTTGTGGCCATGTCACTTCTGAAAAAAGAGCTATATAGCTCAGTGAGTCTTACCTGGTAAAATAAAAAAAAGTTTAGTTGAATAGTTTAAATAGCTTAGGCTACGTGCAGTTTTCCTGGACAAAGCGTGTTTGGTATTCATATATTCATAGTACGTCTCATAAAATGTGTCACATCTTAACCAATCAAACGCTCATTCTCGAACATCCACTGAAGTTTCTGCCGTTCCCTTCCGTACGACGGCTTTTCAACTCCTCGGTCACAACGCCCACTTGCGCATCACGAATGCCACACAATCCTGACCTACAATTCCCAAGCAAGCTCACGGGCTTTGCGCGAAGGGGGGAGGTTTGCAACTTGTACAACCTGCTGCACCGTGAGCTAACGCAAGCGGCTGAAAAGACTGTCCGTGATGTGCGACTCCGAGACACTCCCTCGCACAGCACAGATGGAAATCGATAAGCAACTGGAAGCTGCAGCCCCCCCGAATGATTCTCTCACAAGAAGGGCAGATGTCAGCTGCCAGATCATTATGCAGGTGTGGCATTGGTTAGTGTGCAGATAAACACGTCCTGTTGTGCCGAAATGTCAATGCAGGCCTATGAACGTGCTCACAAGTTGATGCGCCTCCCTGCAGAATGCGCACAGCCACAGAAAGTCACACAGGGCCTCATTGTGTTGTGTAAAATGTTCGTTTCTGTGGGCTATTTGGAGGAAAAGCACTCGTGTTCCCATTACCAACAACAGGGCAAATTGTCCAAGTGAATGGGTTTAAGCTGCTTCCTCAAGATCTTATGTGGCTCTGAATCTTTTAATGTTTTGCCATATTTTTAAACGCTATAAAATAACATGAATAATGCGAATAATCAATCACAATAATTGCCTCTTATTCAGCCGGAAAGCTCCACTAAATCCTGACACATTTTCAGGAGCACTATTAGTGGTATGTGGCCAATAATTTTGGATGAGGAGATGAACAGGAATATGCCGTAATCTTAATTTGAAGCTTTCGTGACTGCAGGAATCCATACTCTTTGGTTCTTTCGGTAAAGTCACGTAGGTAGAAAATAAAATAAATCAAGACGTTTCGGGCGCAACACAAGCATCCGTCATCAGGTGGGAAAGCATGGTCTGCTGCTGAGGCAGACTGTTTCAAAAGGTGTGAAATGGGTGTAGCCCAAGGGTCATAAAGAAGTGGCCGGGGCTAGTGATGTTAATGTGAGAAATTAGCATGTAACTGTAGAAAAGAAGGAAAGCGGCCTCCTCGACGAGGGCACGGAAGTGGCTATGTTAATGTGAGAGATTAGCATGATGTTAATTGTGAGAAATTAAAAGGCACGGAAGTGGCTATGTTAATGTCAGAGATTAGCATGATGTTAATGTGAGAAATTAGAAGACACGGAAATGGCTATGTTAATGTGAGAGATTAGCATGATGTTAATGTGAGACATTAGAAGGCACGGAAGTGGCTATGTTAATGTGAGAGATTAGCATGATGTTAATGTGAGACATTAGAAGGCACGGAAGTGGCTATGTTAATGTGAGAGATTAGCATGATGTTAATGTGATGACGGACGCTTTTGCTGCACCAGAATTGTCGTGATTTATTTTATTTTATACCTACGTGACTTTACCGAAAGAACCAAAGAGTAAAGAACATGTCGTGCCTATAACTATAATCCGTGATGCAATACTAAAGACAGTACAGTACATACCAACTCATCACTACAGTATTAGCTATCATCAACTCGCTGCTGGTTGAAAGCCTCTCCAAAGCCAACATAATCTGGAATTATCCTGCTCTGTAATAACCACATTTTCATAAAACATCGTGAACATTTTGTTACTATCCTTGCAAATATTTGTGTTAATAAAATACAGCCCTTGCTTTTGAGAGCTTTGGATGACTGCATCAATTTCTATTGAATTCTATTCCTTGCCATGGTCTACAAAGGCTCGTAATAAAGATCTCTGATATTCAATTGTTTTCTTTCAGTATCGTCTTGATTGTACGTGGTCGATGATGACAAAATACCTTCCAATATCTTGCTCGCGTGACTGCCTGGCCTCTTCAGTTGCCAATTCTCTTCCCAATTATATGCACGCACGATTCACCTACATTTCACATAGTGTCAATGGCTCAGTTAATTTGCAAGTGAGTTTTGTCTCAATTTTTGAACAGAACAATGACTGAGACATTCCATAATTTAGCCATTTCATCTCAATGCGCTAATTAGTAAATAGGTGAGATTATTTTTAGTCCAACAGCTATTCTCAACTTCTTTGGTGATATCCACGGCTATTGCATATGGTCCAGGAGCTTTTCCTTGTGTAATACATTTCCTTGGGATGCAAACGTTTTATGTATTCACTCTGTCCATCTGCCTGTCTCTATCATAGAACAACGCTTTTAAATTGCGATTAAAAGCTTTCGTGACTGCAGGGATTCATATTCTTGCTTCTTTCGGTAAAGTCACGTAGAAGGGAAATAATGAAATAATAAAATAATAATTATAAAACATAATAAGATAAAATTCTCACGACGTTTCAGCTACAACGCAAGCAGCCGTCCCTCAGGTGAAGAACAGGGCTGTCGGAAAGACAGCGTCCCCATTAGGACTCTGTCTTTCCGACAGGCTGTTCGTGCGCTGTGGCCGAAAACTTCGTGAGAATTTTATCTTATTATATGTTTGATTTGTATTATTTTAACTCTTTTAAAGATGATCCAATATGTATAAAATTGTATCCATAATAAAGGGGTTTTCTGGGGTTAGATTGCATAAATATCAATGTGTCGTTAAACCGTTCGGTTGCCAGAACCCGGTGGGTGACATGGCCTAGTGCAGGGGTCGGCAACCTACGGCTCCGGAGCCGCATGCGGCTCTTTACGGGCTGCTTCTTGACGATGAGTACGTATGTACAGTATGTACTCAGATGCATTGCGGCTCTTGAAATACTGAATTTTGTACCGAATTGGAAAGAAATGGCTCTTCTTGTTATTTTGGTTGCCGACCCCTGGCCTAGTGGTACCGCTTGCTGCAAAGGTTCACAGTTCGAATCCAGCGGCCGCCCCGGTAATTACTGCAGTGAGCACTAACTATTATAACACACTCCGTTTGGCTTCACAGTGGACTTTAAAGACCGTGTGATGTCATTCGCAAGAGTAGGCCATTGGTTGACCTAGGGGAGGCCCTGAACAAGTTCTGGTATCACTTGCTACTGATGTCTGCCATGACCTGGAATGGAACTCAGGTCATTAAGATTGTAGCACAGTGTGCTGTCTAAATCACCATTCCCAATAGCCCCATTTGTAAAATTTAGCCCAAAATGGGCTGTTGCCTGCAAGTGCTGTTTGCGAGTATCTATTATAAGGGCCAGGCTTGGCGATGCACTTTTAAACCTAGATTGATGTTCAAACATGCATACAACACGTCCGGTGCGTTTGTCTTCTCAGTGGTAATGTTTAAACACTGCACCAGGTAACAATCACCACTGCTGTTAACCGTGGCCTGGCATCAAATTCTGGTTGCCAGGTTTGTAGCACCGTGTGCTAATAACCACGCTACTGCTCCCCATGCAAAACAAAAATCCCTTCCCCCCCGTATAGCCTTAACAAACTGTTGGGGCAAGTCCTGTTAGCCAGTACAGCACATGAGGGGGTCGCCAACACCACGCCCGGCCACCTTTGTCTCCCTAGTGGCGATATTTACACATCAGACTAGGTACTCATTTGAGGCTGAATCGACTTAGGGGAGTCCCAGGGACGACCTCAGATAATTATAATCGTCACACGAGGGGGTTGTCAACACCATGCCCGGCCACCTTTGTCTCCCGAGGGGCGATATTTACACATCGGACTAGGTACTCATTTGAGGCTGAGTCGACTTAGGGTAGGCCCAGGACGAGCTCAGATAATCGTCACTGGTGTTGGACGCGAGCCGAAATCGAACAGGGTTCAGCGGGTTCATAGCAGGGCGCGTTAACTGCTGCACCACCGCTCCCTATACACACACATAACAAAGGCAAAGACACACACGCACATGCACACGCACATGCACACGCATACGCAAATGTGAAAGAAAAATACTGACCCGCCACCGCCAGTTATGTAGCTGTAGCCACCACCAGTCAGTAGCCCATAGCCGTAGCGCTCCCCCAGGTACACGGGCTCAGTTGGATCATAGCAGCTGAGCAGCTTCTGCAATCTGGGCACACTGGCAGGGAAACCGACAGCGACACACATTTAGCATCACAGAGTAAATGCGAAATATCCACCTCCGACAAGAGGCCATCAAAGAATATTTAGGTCTTGAAGTTGTGCAGGCAATTAAATGAAACTGTTGGCACAGAGCCGTCAAAAAACAGCATTTAAGCTGAATTCATCTCGGGGAGACTCAAGCCAGATTCGGCTACAAACTGCTGCTTATTGTTTGAATGGTCCATGATTCAAACCCTGGTTGCTCGTCTTATGATGCAGTTCTAGTTTCTACAAAGAGAGAGATAAAGATCATCGTATAGCCTTAACAGACTGTTGGGGCAAGTGCTGTTAGCGAGAAGCACCTATTAAGGGCCGACACGGCACACGAGGGGGTGGGTGGCCAACACCACACTCGGTCGTCTTTGTCTCCCCAGTGGCAATGTTTACACTCCACACCATGTAGAAAGCTAAAATTATTTCGCACCGTACGTAGCCAACTGTGCTAATCAAAGCAGCAGGTACTAATTCGAGGCCGAGTCGAACTAGGGGAGGCCCAGGACCGATTCAAATAAATCGTCACTGGTGTTGGCCATGAGCGGGAATCTAACTCGGGTCGCCACATTTGTGGTTGCAGCGTGCTAACCATAGCACCACCCCTCCTGCCTAGTCTCTCCAACACCACTTCACACATACGTGCAATTACAACAAATGACATAACAGAGATGTACACACATTGTAAAATGTCAAAGAAAGTATGTCATTGGTATGCAGGTGTAATATAGGATAAGTAGTTGTCTTACAATGAGTGAAATACTGATAATCTGGTACATCATAAGGGAAGGTCTTCATCCAGAAGTGGATTGATAATGGGCTGTAAATTGCTTTTATTATGGTCACTAATATAATTCCATTGCTTAAATCAACACACTCATGTTTCCTTGCATTGCTTCATAGTGTTGAATAATCCGGGAACACTTTGTTAACCAAAACCATGACTAGATATGCAGCCGACGCAAGTGGTGCCTTTTGCTTAAAAAAAAAAAAACACTGACCTCCCTTTGGGTTTTGTGCTCAAAAGATGCCTTGCTTCTATTTAAACCAGCCGTGACTCACGATGAGCAGTCTCGACCGCCATTTCAGTGAGGTGACAATCGAGCGGGCCGCGTGTCACCACCGGTAATGAATCGTAATGATGCAAGGGACCATGTTCAAGGATGGAGGTGGTGGCCGGGTGGACTCTGGGTGCTGCCCTCCACTGTGTGTGGATCGGAGGGGTCACTCGAAGGTATCTCAAAAGGAAGCTCTGGTGACATCGACTTCCGAGAGCCAATCTCCCTACGCACAGGGTCGCACACCCCTGCGAGGATTCTGAAAGGACACTTTGTCTCGTGACGGCGACGTAGCAATCAAGATAAAGTTGGGGGGAGATCACACATTTTTGGTGATCTCGTCAAGGAGGATAAACCATCACGCAAACTCTGGTCATGCTCGCAGAGGCTTTTGCTCACCATCGAACAAAAACGGTTACCGCATCGCGCGCTTTCAGATGCACTTCCAGATGCACTTCCGCGGCCATCTGGAATGCTCTTCCTTCCGATATTAGGAAGCCACTGGAGCTATGCACTTTTAAATCATCTGGATTGAAAACTAATCTCCAGAGAACTGCTTTTTGTGTTTAGCTTGTTGTCTTTCCCCCGTACCTCCGATTTGCATTGTTGGCGACGTACGGTGTGACAGAAGTTCAACATATGCACATACATGCTCAATACGGTCTGCTTTTTCACCAGCTATGCTTAGCCTTCAAAAAAGTTTTAATCAACAGCTGAACAGAAAGTCGCAGCCAAGTGGCCTCATTATGACCCACGTCATGGTGAGTTTCACCTCCTGGCGCTTGCACCTGGCTCCCCATTGTAGCGAGTTAAAACACTCGGGCCGGTTACTTTGACTTCATAGTAAGAGCCATTCATGATTCCTAATTGATTTTTTGAGTTAGGTCAAACGTCGATTTTGATTCATCTCAGCTGCGAAAGATTACGCGTTGAGAAAAGCCATGGCGTGAATGTGGCTACGGGCTCAGTATCATGTTTATCCATTGCAAAGGATTACGTATCTGTGTGTGGGACAGTGCACACCTATAATCCAGAAAGTGAGAGGCTGGTGGATTACAAGGATCTGTGGAAATGTAACAGTGGGGGGGGGGGGGGGGGGGGGGGGGGGGGCAAACAGGGTGGAGAAGCTACAGCTAGTTACAGCTCAATATACAATCCAATCCAACCTTATACAGATTCCTATCTGCAGATGATTCAATGCTGTCTTTTCCAATCACCTGCTCGCACAACCAGCTACCCACAGAGGAATATCGGCTCGCCTAAGCCTGTGAAGGTGGTGCTGCAGTGCGCGCACTCTGCTGCAAACCCAGGCGCCAAAATTGATTCTCTGCTCAAGACTAACAGCAGTGGTAAGTAACGTATGAACCATTCCTGGTCCCCTTCCGTTCACAAACATCCCCCAAGACCAACAGGGCAAGCTGTGGCCTTCGTTCTGCAGTTCATTGACAAATGGCTGCCGATTACTTATTTACAATAATTATTATTGATTCTGGTTGGTGAGGAATTTCAGGCTGAAGATGACCGATAGCCTTACTACAGGTCAAAAACATCTGAACCGTAAAATAAAATCTTGTGGTGCTCCAACTTGTTGTCAGAAGTATCATATTCCCAGCAATGGTCCATAAATAATGTATAATACAATACACCTGCTTGCAGTGATTACTTAAAAGAAACACAGTGTTCAAATTGAAGTTGGGTTTGTAAAATTAAGTATTGATTTTTTTTCCATAAAGCTCACTGAATGTGCTGGTTTTGACCAGCTTGATGGTCATTATTCGAGAACGCATCGTCGTACAATCAAGATGCATAAGGCACTGGCCATCAGTAGGCAAGATGAAGAGAAAAGCGAGCGGACTCTCCAGCTCGTGATCCATCTTCATGTTCCACCACAGTGAACACTTTGACCCCGGTGTTATTTCATGGCTTTATTTTGGTGATTTCGAAAAGTTTATTCGTTTAGCCATGTTTGTTTGTTGTAATACGGAGTAAGACTAATGGCCTTAATCTAAGTTGGCTTGTGGTTGTTGTTGTTTGACTTGCATCCCACTGGGATTTTTGCACACAGCGTTGGTGTACGGTGTTTTTCTGCAATATTTTGCTGTCTTTTCTTGGATTTTCTGTTTGCACTTAGTCACATATTCACTTTAAGATGTTTTCTTGTTCATGTTTTTGGTTTTTGTTTGTTGCGGTTGCACCCGATTTAAGAGCCGAATGGCTCACAGGGCTATACCTAATAAATGAACTTGAACTATTGGAGTCAACAAAATGGGAAACAAGTGATTAATAACTACGAAGAAAAACCACGGGCAGCTTGGCAAGCATCACCCACGGTACGCCGCGGTGTCGATGCTACGTCACGATGCGGCTTGCTGAGCGTGGGGGCCGCGTGCTTGTGATCCAGTGATAAGGGTTACAGGAAGGGTGGCCGAATCATAACTTCCGCATTTCCCCCGCACCCTGGATTAGCACGGCTGCTAATAACCGCATCTCCAGTTTCTTCATCCTTCCCCCCCCCCCCCCAGCATTCCCTTGCGCGTTTCCTAATCCCCTCCCCCTACCCCCCTCGCTCTATCTCTCCTCCTTGGCTCCTCCCCCCTCTCTTGCCTATATAGCCTCTTGTTACAGCAGCCCTTTTGCCCACTTCAGCAATTGTTTCTTGCTGTGGTTGTCCCACCTGATAACGGACGCTTGTGTTGCGCCCGAAACGTCGTGATTACATTCATTTAATTTTTTATACCTCCGTGACTTTACCGAAAGAACCAAAGAGTATGGCACGGCTGGCTACGTACATATGTACGTACCTGTGATGCACACAACCGCCTATGCTTCAAGTGAGTTCATGATCCGTATGGCCTTTGAAAAATTATCCAACTCTCTTATTTGGTGTAGTTTCTTGCAGATACAATTCCGGATTCCTCTCACAATATGCAAAACACTCGTTAGAAAATGGCTGGCCAAACATTCCAATGTCTTGCCAAAAGACTTGACAATCAATGACAACATTCTGGATAAATGGAGGGACCTGTTAATTACTCGTTGACATCGATTGGAGTATTTTGTTTTATGCACAAACGTGGCTCGGATTACATTCCAGACGTATGCAAAAAATAAATGTACATCTGCTAGACGACAGAAATGCGAGCTGTGGGGATAGAGACATGGGTTTGGTTCATTCCCTACGGAGCAAATAGCAGCGACACCCCTCCACTTGCTCCAAATACTTCGGAAACAATCATCTACTTTGGCTTCCTAAAGAATAATAATTCACGGCTGGATGAAGACCTCCCAATGTTCTGTATGTCATAGTGGTTCACGTGATCTTACCCAACCATGGGTAAGATCACGTGAGTGTTGGTTGGTCACGTGAGTGTTGGTTGGTCAAGGAGAGGGGAGCCCAGGGTTAGTTCAGATATCACTTGCCACAGATGTTAGCCGTGACTGACATCAGATATCACTTGCCACGGGGTTCTTAGTGCGCTCAATCCAACCCCTCATATAACAATATTTTTTGTACGAGTTCACAAAGATAACAAAGAAAATCAACACATCTCACAGCTTAAATGAGCAAGGAGCTGGCTCTCATCTCTGTTGATGGGGATAACCATTGTTCACTTCCCACTATAGTGGTGCTCATCTTATCCGCCGTCGAGGGATGATGGGATGTGTCGACCTTGCATTGAGATTTGAACTCAAATCCTTTCAACTGCGATTGAAAGAGCCCCCCCCCCCCAGTCAGATGAAGATAGGGATAACAGCAGGGCTTCAGAAAAAGCCTAATATTAGATCGGTCACTCACGGATATATACAAAAGCCTTTGAACATTCTGGGTGCCGCTGATACTGTATGTGTCTGTTTTTATAGCACAAACACCACACAATGCGTACATGTGTGTATGCGTGCACGTGTTATTACTAAATTCCATTCGTCAAAATGACATTCCATTACTCAAAAGAGGACGAAGGATTTATCTCCTTAAAGCACGACGCAAATAGCAGTAGATTCGCCTTTTGTGCAAGATGCCAAGATTTTGAATGCACAAGATGCACTCGCTCACCCTCTTGCGCGTACAGACATGGTGCCTTCGACGCCAAAGCCTTCATCGCAAAGGTTTTTAAAATATATTTTTGTTTGAATATAAGAACAACCCTCTGCTTTGATGTATTAATAACTCAAATGAACACACCTTATTTCCCTGCCTTTTTGCAATGCAATGACTCATACCTACTATAATACTATGTAACACAATTTTTGTTCCTGGCTAGTAAGTGTTATTTCGGAATTGCTTATGCCTAAAAAATATACAAAATGGCTATTATTCCCCACAAACTTTGCTTTTGTAACCGGGAAGGTGATATTTTGAAATGTATCTATTTTCAATGAGAAAACGGGCAAATTTGTGTCTTTTCGTTCACATAAAGTCAGAAAAAAACCATTAATCTAAATTAACATTTATTTATACTAAAGTAATACAAAAATGACTACAAAAGATTTAGAAGCGAGTAATTTTTCGAGATTTACGATTATACTGTAAATCACTTTCATGAATCAGCCCCCAAATGTAGTCTCGTGAAAGGATATAACAAAAAGTAGCAAGGAAAAGTACGCTCATTCCTTAAACCTGGTTTCTGTAGGCAGCCGTCAGCGTGTTCCTTACAGACTAGTCCAGCACAAATACGTGTTTTATGGGCTGTAAATACAAGAGCAGTGTCCACATCACAGCCAGGTTATTCAGCTTCTTCACTGTTTACACAGTGCCAAATGACTGCCTGGTATACAGGAGGTCGTGGGTTCGATCCCGACCATGACTCCTATATATTTGGAGTTGGCATGTCTCTCTCCCCGTGGTCGTGTGGATTTTTCTCCAGGTCCTCTAGTTTTGCCCTCCACATTTAGAATTAACATGCATTTAGAGTATTTGGCTGCTGTACATTTCCACATGATAAGCCACTTCGTTAAGCTCGCATTTGTGGCCAGGTCGCTTCTGAAAAAGAGCTATATAGCTCAGCGGGCCTTACCTGGTAAAATAACAATAGTTTAAAGAGTTTTAGTTAAAAGGTGCGATTCGGAAACATTGCCAGGAGATCATCGCTGTGGATTCATTCTCAGATAATGGCTCCTCGAGCAACAACAAAAAATGGCAGAATGTGTCTGCCACTATCCCTCTAAGAAGTCTTGGACTCTATTCTGCTTTTCCAAATTCTCCTAGGGGTGCCACTCCCCCCCCCATCCCCTCAGCCCCCCCCCCCAAAAAAAACCCAGCGAATTCTGGGAGAAGGCAGTCCTCATGGCTCCCCATAGCTTGAAATTTATCTGCCATAGGGACCTGCAAAACAACAGCCGCTGGGTCTGCCCCAATGTCCAGACCTGCATCCATCACCAACGCTGTTGCCATGCCACCACATCGACGTGCTCAAATGCCTGCCAGGTCCTAGCTGCGGTATTATTGCTCGGGCGTAGCTGCTTATGAAACAACTGGGTACTGGACCATCCACTGGACATCTGTGAAACTCCTGGACATCTGTGAAAAAGAGCTTCGGAGCGCATCGGATTCTTCTGGGTAGCTGACCCGCATAACGCATCGTACGGCTCTGCTCACGAGGCACAACAGAGTTAAGGCTGCTGACGTGTTAACAGCTTTCTCTTCCACAAAAACAACAAACGCCGCGAGGTAAGCAAACGTTTTATTTAAAGTGCTATGATTGCAGAAAATGGTTGAGATGTTTTATGGAACCTGGTACGGAGTTATGAGCAGAAATTCTACGGTTTTGTTAGGGACCACTCTCTCCATCCCAAAACCTCAGGTGACTTCCCACAGATGCGAGACAACCTTACTATGCGGTGATGATGATGATAATGACAATCTATATCGAGCCATATAGAGCCTGTACATTATCCTATTTATAAATATACAAAATGTGCAGTTATTTGCACCAGAGATATGCACTTTAGCAATTACGTGGCAATTGTGAAAAAGTCTGCATTCCCAAATGAACACTGTGGATCTATTGAGTGCACAGTGTGACAAGTGGCAGATGCATGGTTTGTGACCAATCAGGGTCATGAAGGGACATGTGCTTTAATCTATAAAGCTTCCACTTTAAACATTACTCCACACTGCACACTCTTTCATACAATACTATACCTAGCACGGCACCTTACTTTCCTTGAGATCAAGTAAGTGTTTAATGATTAATTCACCAGTCTCTGCGTAGGACAACCACTGTTGACTTATCACAAGATGACTTTCATTTTATTGACCAAATGCCAAGTTAACCCCTCCGACTGCGATTCGAAATATCAACCTTACAATTTCCGTGGGCACTTAACCACAGCGCCACAACACACACACACACATATATATATCAATACCTGCCATTCGCCACTAAGTGACGGTGACGTCACCGTGGCGCACGTGCCATGGCAGGTGCAACCTGGTCTCTAGCACGAGCTTATTTCGGTGTTTCCACCGTGGTGCTTTGTAGAGAAAGTGCCAGGTGGAGGGGTTACCAGTCGCTCACACGCACTGATTATATATACACACACACACAAACATGTGGAGACATTCTAGCCAAATGCCCTGAGAATCAAAGTGCGATGCTTATCCGACCCCCCCCCACCCCTATCTTGCTAAGTGCACACAAGCTAATGCAACTACGCCAGCAGAATGTGATCTTTCAACTGCTAACCAAAGTCAATTTCCTTTGAAGTCACACCCTGGCTCACATTGACCGGTTTCCCTCTCATAGCCATGATGTCCAACTGAAAAAAAACAGCCAAGACTCCAGGTGGCTTTCGGAGTTCTTAAGACGAGAAAACACTGGGTGCATGATAATGCCGTTAGCAGCACACATGCAGTTGAATGACGGGGGTTTTTTAAGTCGTATATCGCAAACGGCTGGTATTCGTACACCATGCAGACCATCACGTGCTTTTTGTAGCAGTTTTTTTTTCACGTGAATATCATGTGTTGCTTTAATGCTGGCCGTGTTTTGTTTTTCTTCAGATATCTCCATTTTAATGGGTGGTTGCTGTCAACCAGAAGGTTGTGAGATCAAACCGTGGTCGGGATTTGATTCAGCCTGTTTTCAATACTGGCCCAGATTCTTACAAACCGAGTTCCTAATAAGTATAACCCGTAAAAACAAAGTTTTTCACTATAAATCCTTTATATGCGTGGCAGCGAACTTAATATAAAGGATTAAAAAATATATTCGCCTGTGGAGGACGCGGGGATCGATCCCGCGACCTTTGGCATGGGAAGCGAGGGCGCTACCAACTGCGCTACTCCGCCACGGCCTGTGGAGGGGTTACGCTCTGGGCTCTTATACTGTGACGTTCAGCCAAAGCCAAGAATGAGTTCTTTGGAATATATGTAAAATATTTTTTTTTTGCCTAAAAAGTGTAAAATTTTTAGAATTTTTTTTCACGAACATTAATTGTCTGGCACAACGAGTCTGTGTGGAAAATGTCAGCTCGATTGGATCACGGGAAGTGGGTTAAAAAACGACCGAAAGATTTGCACGGTCGTAAGCAAGCAAGCACGCAAGCACGCAAGCAAGCAAGCACGCAAGCAAGCAAGCAAGCATGCGAACTTAATATAAAGGATTTAAAAAGCACGGTCTTTTCTTGACAGTAACCCAGACCTCCCTTGCAAGGGACACTGTGGCATAATGGGCTAGCACAGATTTTTAAAATTGTGGGGAACTGTTAAATTGATTTCAATGTCGCGTTGCTGCAACACGCGCCGAGCTTACCTGAGGAGGCTGTCGTCATCGGCAATCACAAGCCATGGCGTGCGCTCAAACGTCGGATCGGAGTTGAATCTCTCCAAAATCGCAAACGTCTTGGCGCAATGACCTGCGTCTCATCAACACCACCACCACCACCCAGGCAAGCAGGTGAGATGAAGTTTGGCGACCAGGGTCAGGTACATTGGCTGGGGCAGTGTGCAAATATTCCACTCTGTGAGTCCTCTTTAGTCATTGCCCCCTTGTTTTTTTGCCATTTAATTGAACAATGATTATCCTAACCATACTATTCAGATTCATGGAAAAGGTGAAGCATTCTTAATAGAGGTTGTTTTTTTGGGTTCGATCGCGTAAGTATAAATGTGTCGTTAAATCCACCACTACCCGACACAGCTAATCAGTAAGGTTGGTCACTTCAACGAAACATGCCAATTCGTTACTAGTGTAATGGGTTCCAAAGACACTTGTAGAGGTAACTTCTTTATTACAATACAACACTCCAACAGTCCTGATACACTGTTACAGCCTAGGGACACAGCCTACTCCTAGCGTGCCTGACACTGGCTACGCTCTCGGGTCCTCCGGCTACGATTACCCTAGGGGAGGCTACCTGACCCGACCCAGCCAAGGTGTGGGTCTAGACTCTGGCTGTTCACAAGCTGCATGTATTTTACCACCATGGTCATTAACGCCACACTGCCTTGCAATGAAAGATGTGTCACCAATGGCTGCATACAAATTTTAAACATTATCATCCATGCTGCATCTGCTGCTGGGTGAAGGCCTTTCAAAGTCGTGACCATCCTTCATGACCTCGTGATGTAAAAATCCAACTCGCCCCCGCACGTGAGCTGATCTCATACATCACGTGAAATGTTTTTTTCTAAGTGTCAGTTGGCTACATTCCAGCAGAGGATCTAGGAAAATATGCGTTTCTGCTTGGCCAAAGAATTAAACGAAATATTCAGGCTTTTTAGAAAAGTAACATGAGGAAAATATAAGAATGTGACAAACGTTTGAATATTATTTGCCCTTGGTAAAGACACGGAGCTTAGTCCACTTTAATGATCAAAACACCTCCTAAGTAGTCTCCTAAGCATGAAATTATTCTGCCATTTTGAATCAGATTCATCATGAGGACCTCATTCCGCCATCCAGACAATCAAAGCACATGTTACTCTGCAACAAGAAAACATTGCATTGGCCGTAAGAACAATGTCGCTCGGTGTTGCCGACACGAATGCAACTTGTTCTCCCAGGGTTGCTCCCCCTGCTTTACTGGTAGGAACCTCCTGGTTACACCAGCCCACAGGGGATTATTGTGTCCGTCGTGCAGGGAGGGGTTGGGTGGGGAGGGTGGGGCTGGGTGGGGAGGGGAGGATGGGGAGGGGCTGGGTGGAGAGGGTGGGGCTGGGTGGGGAGGGGAGAGGAGGGTGGGGAGGGGCTGGGTGGGGAGGGTGGGGCTGGGTGGGGGTGGGAGGGTGGGAGGGGTGGGGCTGGGTGGGGAGGGGCTGGTCACCCCGTGGTGCCCTTATAATACTCAACGTTTAACCTACTCACGCCGGCTTGTGCCCGCCCTCACAGTCGGCCATATTTGCGGAATACACCATGCCGCCGTTGACCCTGGCCATTGACCGAGCAACCCAACGTTCCTACCAGCTCCCTCCGCAGGAATACGTTAGATGGGGCAAGACAGACGACATTGATGCGAGTAACGCGAACTTCAGTTTAAGAATCACTTATTTATAATTCATGAAAATGACATGGTGTCACCTGTAGGATAAGTACATTAATATGATGGAACCAATGAGATAGACAGCACAAATGTGGCAAAAAGAAATACAAGAAAAAAACATACAAGATCGATAATACGGTTGAGGCTGATGTGACCAATGAGACGAAGAATTGATCCTAGAATCGAATCCTGACCCCAAAATCCTTACAGTTCATCCAACAACTTCGACAGTGAATCAATGCACGCCTCCGAAACATATCCAAAAACCATACTTGCATTTCAGACAGTCTTTAGTGGCTGGGCTGTAGGCTCTCAAATGCGCGCACATGAGGAAATGTTTAAACTTTGGTTGGGATCCCAGGATAACCAATGATGCTGGCTCAGGGGACTCGAACAGGCCGAGCATTATCTTAATGGAGCCACCCAGGCATTGCAGCGAGTCTGTTAACAATAAGCGTTGTTTGTGTGCACAGGCTCACCCCTCTCAGTGTTGGGCACCCCTAAGTCGACGGTGGGGATGTCTGCGTCGAGCGTGTCGCTGTAAAACGTGAGACGAGACGCCCAAGTCCCCCAGGTCCTCTTCAACACTGGCACTGCAACACACGGACACGCAACGCAACCGACCGCACGCCACGCGTCGATCCGCTCAGGGGAGTCTGTTCCTAGAAGCATCCCCGCCGTGTGGCATAAAAAGTTTCACCCTCCATTGCCGACCTCTGGGTGCCACTCCGATGTCCGTTTCTTTAGCCTCCCTCCCTCCATCTCTCGCACACTCGCACACATGCCCCCCCAACACCCTCACCCCCCCGCCCACCCATCACAACCCCCCCCCCCCCACCCATCACAACCCCTTCTTCCTGGTGACATCTAACATCCTTCTTGCCACATTATATTCCTGGGACGAAACGGCAGGCACGCGAATTGCCGTGCAAACAAATCAATACTCTTGTATTTGATGCCTGTGCGCTTAGGAGACCTCAGTTGCATGCAAGACCCCATAACGCCTTGTATGTTCCACTAAATCTACAATGCTTTCTTGCCACATTCCAAGTGGCTTACCCTATCCTGCGATGGAACACCTGTGCTTGACGAGAAGCAGGGTATCCCTCGTTGCAGGGCACAGTCAAGTCAACGCCAAAGTGTCTAAAAGTTTAAACCAGCATAGGGGCGCGACACTGATCTCTGGTGACAGTTGGACGGTGCAGAGTGATTAGACTGCTCAACTTACATTTGGAAGGTTGCTATTTCAAATCTTAGTTTAAAGTTGACATATCCTCTGTTCCTTCCTCACGTGACATACAATGAGAACGAGTCTGTGGGAGAACTTCCAACAGCAGTCGTTCTCCGGAATGGCCTCTGGGCTGTAACTAATACTAGTTTAGATATCCATTGCTTGATGTTGATATTGATAATTGTCTTAATTCCTGCCCTACTTAATACATGGCGCAGTTATTCTGCACTGTTTCTAAGTGAATTTTTACGTTTAAAATGGAGGCTTTATGAGACAGTTTAATAATGTAAAGCTTTGATAGTATTGTTAAATAAAATAGATAATTTAAATACATTGTTTCTTATAAGTAATTTTTAAATATAATTTATTTTTAGTTCTTATGACATAAGAAACAACTTGTGCATGGATTACTTACAATAACAATACATGTATCAAAATCAGAATATGTATTCTACTGGAGGAATTCGAAGAGCTATAAAGCTCTTTCACAGATGTCCAGTAAGGGCAGGTCAGAAAGTTACGACAAACAATAAAAAACAGGAGTTCAAAGTATAAGCAAGCTAAGCAAGTCACAAAATATGAATACACATAAATAAACTAGAAAGTATAAATAAATTCCTGCCGATGTTTCAACACCAAATTAAATCTTGGGCAACAACAGCAAAACAAAAACAGTCCCATACCACACCAAGACAACACACAGTCCCTCAATAAAAGTACACATTAAAATTAAACTATCGATACATGTGTAGTGACATAGAATGGGTCACTACGTAGCATAGCGCTGGTTGCTGGCAGAGAAGGGGATCTGCAGTTGCAGCAGCCCTGACTGACAGCAGGTAACGTGATAAGTCAGAGAGAGGGATGTAGGGGAAAGGTGACAGAGAGGGCAAGTGAGAGAAGCCCAGGAACCCGCTAGTAGATTCTGGGGCGGAGCGAGACCACACTGGGAGGATAAAAGGGGACCCCGAGCAAGAGCTCGGGGCTGTCGTTGGAGTGGGATGCCGTCGTGCTGCTGGAGTCTTCGCCACCATCTACGTCTTCATCTGCACGGCGTCATCAGTCAGGCAGTCTGCCAGCTGTCCTGACTGGGAGCTGTAGTTACTCTGCGTCTCTGAGTCAGTCACTACACATGGCTAAGGGGATCACAGTTACAAATCACATTTGCAAATTTGGTTGGATCCAGCACTAACCTTCTGCTTTTCCGAATATTTTTTGAAGGAAGATTTACAATGTTAAGGGAGGAAACAAGGTTGTTGTTGTTCCAAAACGTTGGTGCTGCAACGGCAAAGGCTTTGTCACCTATTCCAATTCTTGTTCTTGGGATATTTAAAAGCAGCAAAGAGTAATTAAATAGACGTCTTGGTTTTGACAATAGGATTCATGAATTAGCTAATCATAGTGCACATTAGCTAATTAGAATTTTATGGATGAAAAGGTTTAGTCTGTTTCGTGATTCATTAGTAGCTGATCTCTAAGCAGCGTCACAGTAGTCAAAAAGTGATACAATAGCTTCAATAATTTGCAGGCGCAATCAAATAGGGAAACAAAGTTTGTTTCTGTATAAATACCATATTTGTATTCGATTTTCTTCGAGATGTGATCAATATGGGCTTGGAATGTAAGTTTTGAATCAATCAGTAAACCAAAGTATTTGAAGCACTCCGTTTGTTCAATGATTTTGTTTCAAATATCCATAATAGGTGAAAAGAATGAAACTGGATTTTTTTTTTTTTTTAAGTAGAAATCGTGTTGGAGACTACGTTTCACTTCATTTGGAGATTTACCCTATACGAGCATAACAGTGTCATCAGCAAAGATATTTAATTTCGAGTGATTTAAGTTTAGTCCAAGATTGTTTAAATATAAGAACAGAATTGAACCCAGCATGGATCCTTGTGTTCATGTTTTTGTTTTTTGTTTGTTGCGGTTGCACCCGACTCAAGAGCCGAATGGCTCACAGGGCTATACCTAATAAATGAAAATTGAATGAACTTGAACTTCTTCTTGGTTCTTTCGGTAAAGTCACGTAGAAAGGAAATAATAAAATAATAAAAATAAAACATAATAAAATACAATTCTCACGACGTTTCGGCCACAACGCAAGCAGCCGTCCTCAGGTGAAGAACAGGTCTGACCGTCCTCAGGTGAAGAACAGGTCTGACCTGTTCTTCACCTGAGGACAATTGCTCATCAGTAGTGGCCTTTATCCAGGTTAATGAAGAAAAATGTTAATACATCCATCGTTTCTGTGGTGGTGAGGTAATCCTCTCACAAACAGAGTATTTACTGGTAGGAACCTCCTGGTTCCACCAGCCCACAGGGGATTATTCTGTCCGTCCGTCGTGCATCCAAAAATGGGAGGGGTGGGGCTGGGTGGAAAGGGGAGGGTGGGGAGGGTGGGAGGGGTGGGGCTGGGTGGGGAGGGGCTGGGTGGGGTGGGGCTGGGTGGGAGGGGTGGGGCTGGGTGGGGGGGTGGGAGGGGGGTGGGAGGGGTGGGGCTGGGTGGGGAGGGGCTGGGTGGGAGGGGTGGGGCTGGGTGGGAGGGGTGGAAGGGGTGGGGGGTGGAAGGGGTGGGGCTGGGTGGGGGGTGGGAGGGGTGGGGCTGGGTAGGGAGGGGCTGGTCACCCCGTGGTGCCCTTATAAAACTCAACGTTTAACCTACTCACGCCGGCTTGTGCCCGCCCTCACAGTCGGCCATATTTGTGGAATACACCACGCCACCGTTGACCCTGGCCATTGACCGAGCAACCCAACGTTCCTACCAGCTCCCTCCGCAGGAATGTGTTTACTGTGCAGGAGAATGTGACACTTTATGGAGCAGTTTATTTGTGATTGAAGTATATTTTTTTATCGAATATTTTAGGAACTGGTGAAAGAATAGAGATTAGTATTTAATTCATGGGACCTCCTTTGCCAGTAACAAAATATGATAATAGGTTTTTCCCCTTTTTTTCTGGCAACAAAACAGGTGATAAGATGTTAAAACACCAAACTGAAACCTTTTACAAGGAATCATGTCTGCATTAACCACAATGTTTGTGGTCAGAATGCAAACAAAAAACATACTCTGATAAATATATGCATTGCCTTTTGGCGTCCTCTGGTCTAACACCGTTTGAGACGAGGCTCAAAAGAAAGCTGTCTCTGGTGTGGACCAATCAGTTTCAAGGACAATGCATATATTATCAGAGTATGTTTTTTTTTGCATTCTGACCACAAGCATTGTGGTTAATGCAGACATGATTCCTTGTAAAAGGTTTCAGTTTGGTGTTTTAACATCTTAACACCTATATTCTTGGCTCTTTCGGTAAAGTCACGTAGAAGGGAAATAATAAAATAATAATAAAAATTTACAATAAAAATTCTCACGACGTTTCGACTGCAACACAAGCAATCATCATCAGGTGTGAAATCCACAGCAAGAAAATTTGAAAAAAGTGGCAGTTTTTTCTTAACGTGATGATTGTTTGTGTTGCAGTCGAAACGTCGTGAGAATTTTTATTGTTTTATATTTGTATTATTTTATTATTTCCCTTTTACGTGACTTTACCGAAAGAACCAAGAATATGAATCCCTGCAGTCACAAAAGCTTTAAATACAAATCTGAACACCTGTTTTGTTGCCAAAAAATGGGAAAAAACTATTACCATAGTATTTAATTATTAGGTGTATTCACAATGGGGAGAGAGAACATTTTCATTCATAGGGTTACAGATGTCACACATCCAGTAAAAAAAAATGTACACGTTCAATTAGCGCCGGCTAAATAAAGAAAAAAACTGCATTAATGGAAAATGTCGCAATTCTGCACACTACATTTACCACTCAATCCACCAGCAACAACAGCGGATCAGCACAGCACAATTTTTTTTAAGAATGCGATGGCTGATACAGTGAACCACAAACGCAGTCTAATGCCTCGATTCGATGAGTACTTGGAAAGAGACCCGGCCTAGGGCCAGCCCAGAAGAAGTCCATGATTGCCCTCCCCGTACACGGCCCTCAGCTCCCAAGCTGGATAAAATATTAAGATGTGGTCTCTCAAGCTCCTCTCCGGCCAGCTCGCCAATCGTTTTTTTCCACTCTGCATCCAAGTAGTGGCAGGTAAGATGCAACGTTAAAAACAATAGTTTTAGCAGGTGGCCCATGTGGCTTGGAGAGATACTCAAACCATGTTCAGAACTTTCTATTTAAAGCTTTCGTGACTGCAGGGATTCATCTTCTTGGTTCTTTCGGTAAAGTCACGTAGAAGGGAAGTAATAAAATAATAAAAATAAAACATAATAAAATAATTCTCACGACGTTTCGCATTCTTCACCTGAGGACGGCTGCTTGCGTTGTGGCCGAAACTTCGTGAGAATTATTTTATTATGTTTTATTTTTATTGTTTTATTACTTCCCTTCTACGTGACTTTACCGAAAGAACCAAGAACATGTTCAGAACACCGTGCTCGCAACGCTGAGGATCCTGGGTTAAATCCGGCCAATCAAGAACAATTGCTCCAAACGTAAATCGAATTAACTCCTGTATCATGCCAATGATATAAATACTGGAATATAATTGGGGGGAAAATGTAAATCAAATGTTTTTTAAGTCGTTTTAAATGTAGCCGTGGGTTAGGCTAGCCTAATTTTAAAATCAGTCTCATTTTTACATAAATTAATACGGCGTAGTTTGCAATTAAATCTAGCTGGTGGCTCAGCGAGTCAAGTGACATTGTGTCACGCATGGTTTCAGCGGTCAGGGTCACCTCGCATGGATGCGGTGCAGAATGCTTGGGGACGAGGCCCATGGTAGCCCAATTCAGGAACCGATCGCGGAATCGTCCTCCAATGCCATGTTTTTCGCTGACCACCATTGAAATGTCACAAAGTGGTGCGTATGTTGTTGATAACAGGCTAAATCAAACCGTGACCAAGGTTTGAACTCGCAACATTCTGATTGACAGTCAAGCACTCCAACCACGGAAGCTTTTGAAAATACAAATACCATATACACCGTAGACCCACAAACACCACTACAGTATTAATACCTCCCCTGCAAGACGAACTAAAATGCACACGTTGCAGTTTTATTCTGAAAACAAATCACATGGATTGCTGTCTCAACATATTGAACGAACGGCAAAGACAAAAGTATCATGCCATTGCTGGAAAGTACAAGTACATTTTCAGCCAAGAAGCTTTAAATATATGTGTATACAGCCTTGAACGGTTACCACGGTATTAAAGAGGCAACCAAGGGTGGGGAAAAAAAAACGGAGAGCAATATTGCTGGGCACTGAAGCCAGAGGCTCCATCTCTTAAGCTTGCCCCCTTAGGGAGCAATGTTAAATTTTCAGCCGACAACCACCAAGAAATGGGGGTTTACAAAGGCCCCCGAAAATCGAGCATGGCCAGATTGATTTGGTGTTACATAAGGGGAAAAAAACCCAGTAACACTGAATACTTGTGGTTCAAAATGAAAAACGTATCTAGGATTAAACATCCAAATTACATCAACCAACAGATTATGTTTAAGCTTGACCGCACAATGTTTTACTCTTGATAATGACACTGTACGACACAAGGTGAAAAGATAATTTCACAATCAGGTCTCTGAGTAATGTGTTAGATTACATATTATATTTTCAATGCCTGAATGCAGTTCATGAAATTACATGAAGAACCCATTTTATTTTTCAGTGACAAATAGTGCATTCAGTTTCCAAGTTTACGGAACAAGCACATTTTACAACATTTCTACACGGGAAGCTTTGTACATGATCGGTATGTATGTTGAATTTCTTTCGCACCATACGTAGCCAACCATGCTAATCCAAATGTATTCTCTGCAAATCTATTAATTGTGTAACATTGTTCTTTGTAAACGACCATGCTGTATATCAGAATTAGTTGGAGAGTGTATTATACTAATATACACACCAAATTAAGGAGAATATGCTTATTATATAGTGGGAGTGATGGGTAATGAGACAAATAAAAAATATATTTATTTCAGAGATAAAACATCTACGGAAGCTAGAGCAGGCCAGACACTCGTTGACGATTCTCATGCCCATACCAGCAGAATCGTCAATGAGTGTCCCCAGGTGCACTCCCGCAGATTTCCACACTCAAAATAGCAGTGTCCGCTAACCCGGTCCAGAGCGGGAAACCCCACATTGACGTATGGAGATACACAACACAATGACGGTGCCTTGTATGTATATATAACTTCTTTTGCAACGTACGTAGCCAACTGTGATAATCGGAGGTGCCTTTGACCGTGCAGCGATAATGAGCTCGTTTCAGGAAAGCCATCAATCCTACCCCTCTTTGGCGCAGCGAGGCGACGGGAGTTGGCCAAAAACTTGGTGCAGATCCGGGGAGCAAACGACGCTGCAAAAGCAAGGCGACAGCACGGCCGCTCTACGCCCGTGGGTTGGTTAGCCGTTTTGAGTTTGCATTTCAACATCTACGGCCGTACGCCAGGATCACTCGTTGACTGCCCTGCTGCTAAAGATGGGCGTCCCAGCCCGCTGCCCACTTCCGCAGATAGTTTCTCGATCACATACAGCTATTTAAAAAGTAAAAAACAAAAAATACCTCTTGTTACCCAGCGCTGTAGCGATATAATAAGCATATTGTACATGTTGGCATCTGGGTAAGTGTTGTACAAGGGCACGTGCATGTGACTGCTCGCCTAAAACCATCGAGTCTGTGACAAAATGGGGACATCTTGACACCATTGTCAACACTTGTGGGAAGTCAAACACATTCCTGCGGAGGGAGCTAGTAGGAATGTTGGGTTGCTAGGTCAATGGCCAGGGTCAATGGCGGCGTGGTGTATTCCGCAAATATGGCCGACTGTGAGAGCGGGCACAAGCCGGCGTGAGTAGGTTAAACGTTGAGTTTTATAAGGGCACCACGGGGTGACCAGCCCCTCTCACCCAGCCCCACCCCTCCCACCCCCCACCCAGCCCCACCTTCCCCACCCAGCCCTTCCCCACCTTCCCCTCCCCACCCTCCCCTCCCCACCCAGCCCCACCCCTCCCATTTTTGGATGCACGACGGACGGACACAATAATCCCCTGTGGGCTGGTGTAACCAGGAGGTTCCTACCAGTATAATAGTAATCCCATGGAGAGACTGGCACTCACCACGTGAATAAGGAATTTCCTCCACACGCTCAGGGCTGCCAATGGAAGGGACCGCTGCCCCACAGCCATTCACAACTGGGACACAATCATTCTGACTGGGATAGGCATAGGCAGGTTGTTAGTGTTTATTGAAGTTAAACTAAACTATAAACTATGTTTCTTTTACTAGGTAAGACCCACTGAGGAATAGGACTCTTTTTAAGAAACGACCTGGAAATAAATGATGGCTCAACAAAGTGGCTTATCATATGGAAATGTTACTAGAGGAAAAAACTCGAAACATATGTTTCAAAATGTGAAGGGAAAACCCAGAGGACCCAGAGTAAAATACATGCGGCCACAAGGAGAGAGAGAGAGAGAGCACATGCAAACTCCAAATATACAACAGAAATCAGGGTCGGGATCGAACCCACAACCATCCTGCATACCAGCGAGGGAAGTTAACATCTCGCCAACTCCGAATCCCCCAGTATTCATGACGTACATCGCTGAGCCGAGGACATTATACGTACCGTCAAGCGGCGTTAAAATAGGTGGAGAAAGTGAGCTGATTACAAATTGGAGAAATGTCACTAACCGCTGGCATAACAATGTCCACATGCAACATCATATGAGAAAGAGTGGTCAGAAAAATTAAGAAAAAAACCAACGTCCAGCTCCTCTGTGTTGTGCACATAAACGGGGACAGGTCGTAATGGATGGCAAAACATGCAAACTCCAAATATACAACAGATATCAGGGTCGGGGTCGAACCGACAACCTCCTTCATACCAGGCGAGGCAATTAACATCTCGCCACTGCGGCATCTTCAGTTACTCACGAACGATGAACAATATTTTACACCACTGGATGTTAATACATATTTTAGTAATTAACAAAAATAAATTAAACTTTAATTAATTTTGACCCTTGGAAAAACAAAAAAGAAGACTATCATGAGAGAAAAAATATATATACGTGTCATGGTTATGGTTATGCTAACAACACAGTTGTGCACAGCTTACCTCTGTCAATGTAAAACTTGTGACAAGTCTTGATAGCAAAGAAAATCTTGTCAGTCTTCCACTGGCTCCCCCTACAGAAGAAAACAACGTGATGTGTGCTTCATGTCGTACATTGAAACCAAACATTCAGTTGGAAAGAAGCATTGATGACATAGTAAAAGATAGCTGCAAGGACATAACCAATGAGTATGGATTCCTGCAGTCACAAAAGCTTCAAATCTATTTTACTGTAACTAAATATTCGTAAACGTTTAGCTTTTAAGATAAAATAACTCTATATGCGCCGTACTAGAGTTTGAAAGATGTCGCGAGTTTTGCCTTCGTGGAATGTCATCTAAATATCATACAACTAAGCGTCTATCAACGGCGGTGAAATGGCTCAACAGTAGAGCATTCGCTGCCCATTGCAGAGGTTCGCGGTTCGAACCCGGCGGCCGCCCTGGTTAATGCTGCGGGTGAATTAACCGTAAAAAAAATGCACGCCGTCTGTTTTACAGTGGATGCTCGGGATCCCCCGACATCGTTTGAAATGACTAGGCAATTGTGCGCCGGCGTTATTGTGTGTAGGCCAGTTGCTGGGTCACCTTGTGCCCACAGGGACAGCCGCGACTGCGGGTGCTCTTTCATTCCCATCACTGATGCTCAGAATGCCAGTTACAGTAAACTCTTGTTAATTGGACACATATGGGGCTCTGGCCTTGCCGAATTATCCCCTATTCAGAATTATGTACAATGGTATTCCCCAGTGGCTCCTGCCCCAATGAAGTAACATTTCCAAAAAGTTTTTTCCAAAAAAAATAACACTTACCATCAGTAACCAGCACTGCAGGCAAAAAAATTGGATTTGTCTCGCAGACTAACGGATTTATACTTCTGTCGCTTTCCATTACTTCTTTATGAAGGTGTAGACGACATTCCTGAGAGGGTTGGCTTGCACAGAGTGCATAAGCAAGGTAAAGCCCAAAGCAACAGGTCTGCACTAACGCTCACCACGCACACCGCCACCGGACTGAGTCATTGTTTTGTTCGTGGCGCGCAGCGTCGCTCCACGTGCATGCCGAAATTGGACCATTCGGTACGGCAATTCGGCTCATGGCGAAATTCTAATACTGAATATATGCCGAAAGCGCAGCCATGCCAAATTATCCCCAAATTAGAATTAGCAAATACTGAAAGAACGAGGTTTTACTGTACTCTTATTGAGAAGCCACTGGAGCTATGCACTTTAAAAACTAGATTGAAAACGAATTTCTTTAAAACTGCTTTATGTGCTTAGTTTGTACTCAATCTTAATTTTGGAGCTTTCGTGACTGCAGGAATTATTCTTTGGTTCTTTCGGTTAAGTCACGTCTAAAGATAAAATAATAAATTAAAATAACTATTTCATCTTTAGACGTGACTTAATAATAAATTAAAATAATTATTTTATCTTTAGACGTGACTTAACCGAAAGAACCAAAGAATAGTTTGTACTCCTTCCCTCGCATATCCGATCGGGACGGTTGGCTACGTACGGTGCGCAAAAAAGTTCGGCACGCATACACACATTCATACTCACTTCGGCTCCAATGTTTTAAACTTTAAACAACACTCACGCATTGCGGAGGGTCCGTGTAGACAGTGGTGGCACACGTGCCTCCTGACTGGGCCTCGGCGTCACGGATGCAAAATTCTGGGGTGGGGGTCAGCTTGGTCCCTTGTCCTTTATTCCAGATGTACAAGGCAATCTGGATACAGTTTAGATCGTGCAGGGCAGTTTTCCACGATCAAAAAAAGATAAACAGCATTAGTGAGCTTCCAGGATGATGTTATTCTGAGACCACTATGCGATAATTTTACCAGGAGCTTAAAAAATATATCCTGCCTATACAAGTGTCTGTGTCAAACTCATAGATTAGATGCATGTCAAAATTGAAATGAAATATTCCCTTGATTTCTAAAAGAATTAAATTAGCTGGCCACAAATGGAACTTTAAAGCTGAATCTAAATTCAAATAAATGTCCATGTCTATCAAGGGAAACTAATAAATTGTAGCTTTGTAATTGTAATTGAATTCATTTAATTCTGACTATATGCTGCATGAGGTTTTGAAATAACCACTTATGCAGTCGGAGACATAACACTCCAAATCAAATCTGCCCCAATCGTGTTCATACATACCGAGTAATTTCCCCCTGTTCCAAAAGACAATGTTTGCTCAATAAGAGGCCATTTGCGTTGTTGTCTTGTGCCGAATATATTATTAATTTCACAGTACCGTCCTGATGAGAGCTGTGCGACAGATGGAATTAGTCACATGTAGATTAATAATAAAGGTTGTTGGGTTAGATCGCGTAGTTATTAATGTGTCGTACCCATCCACTACCCGACAGCCAGCAAGGTTTGTCACGTAAACAGCGTGCCCACCGGTGTGTTGGAGAGTAAATCCACAACATTTACAATTTAAATACGACGTTTCGCTGGTCATTGCATCCAGCATCTGGGCAATTTAAACTTACGCGATCTAACCCAAAAAAACCTTTATTATGAATAATATTGGTCGCGAAAGCCTACGTGTTGAATGTACATTATTTCTCCATCTCTTTCTTTGCACCATATATATGTATTTATTTAACTAAAATACAAATACAATTTCCTCATCTCTATCGTGGTTGTGTGTAGAACACGTTTGGCTGATGGGTAACATTTGCATGTTTATTTCTCCTCTTGATTTGCCAAATATTTTAAAATGGGATAAACGGCGAGCAAAAAGCAACAATTGGAAACCCGGTGGGTGATGTAACTTGCTTCATGTTTGAGGTCAATGGTGAAATCCGCTCTGCGTGACTCCCGCGTCCACCTCTGCACGATGCTACACGCACAACAGGAGGGAGGGGGAGGGGAGCGGCTGAATTCAATGAAACCATCAAGCAATGTCCTTCAATAAACTACAATAGCTGAACCAAACAATGCGATTCTGCCCAAAGGAAGAGGGCGGATTGACCTTCATCTATTTGTGAAGGCGGTGGGGTAATCTTTCAGGGAGGGTGGTTTCAAGGAATAATGGTCATGAACAGCCTATTGGGCGGCATGGTCTCCACTATGCCTGTGCACAAGGAAGCCTTGGTTTGAATTCCATGCGTAACCAAATGGTAGATTTGCAGGCCATTACCATAGCATTTTCCACAAAGTGGACATCAAAGACATTGTTACATCATTCAAAAAAAAATGTCAGTCTGCCACTGTCGTAGCCTAAATACTCAATTTAAAATCATATAAACCGATATAAAAACCGAGATAATTATTACCCCCCAGTAGAGGTGCAACGGTGCATTTCCCCAATATTATGAGCATAAAAAAATGTACGGACATTTATAAATGTGCGGCAAACCGGTAAACATTTTTTCTTACCAATTATTCTCTTCCGGTTACTGGTCATATACAAAAAAAGATCTTCGCAACCATAGTTATTAAACTCTGGAATGCACCGAAACAGGCTCCAAAGACTCCTCTTTAACCCTCACGTGCTGCATCTGGATTCAGGTCAGGTCACGTGCTCTCATCTACACTGGACCTGCCCTGCTTGCGCGCAAGATGCTACGGCCAAGGGTGTACCACCTTGCGAGGAGAGGCTGGCTGAGAGCCCATCCGGACGAGAAGAGTGGGTAGTGGAAGGACGTGGGGTCCTCGTGAAACGCGAAATTGTGGATTATGGTGGCGCTCACGTCATGCAAGGCACGGCCCAGGAACCACGGCTGGGAAAGCAGACGAAACACAAAGCACCACTACAAACAACACCGCGTGCATCTCTCCCTGCAGCCTATTTGAATTGTCAGCCTTGTCAGTGTTATCCCAGTCACGTGTCCTATGACTGCCTACGAGATGCACGTGGCAATACATTCACCGTACACGTGTCAGAGCTACACCTTTAACGTAACATAATTGCGGCACAATTCCCCTGATGATGCTAGTTGTAATTACCAGTGATACGTCGTACTCAAATTGTAAATGTTGTGGATTTACTCTCCAACACACCGGTGTGCTGAAGTAGTAACTAATTGGGCACGTTTTGTTGACACAACAAACCTTACTAATTGGCTGTGTTGGGTGGTGGCGGGTTTAACGACAAATTTATACTTATAGTTACATGATCTAGTGGATAATATTGGTCGCAAAAGCCTACATGTTAAACCTTTGTCCGGACAGCTATTGAAAGCCAAACTGTACTGCGCGTTCATAACGTAAATTGGATATAACACAATGAATGTATTAGGAAACACATTTTTTTATAAAGCGGATGGTGAATTGGATTTATAACGTGATTGAATGAATGGAACTACATCGTGTGAGTAGGAACGAGCGGTGATACGGCAGCCTCGACGTAGCGTCACACAAGGCAGGATTCTGTTGGATGCTTCTGGATGCTACCCACGCGCCTCAGTCTTTGTTCGGCCTGCGTTACGCATCTCACACGTTATCACGGACTGTGCTTTACCCTACATTATATTTTATATCACGATTACCGCGTTATAGGAGAACAGACTGTACCTTGCTGTGGTCATAGCGACCCAACAACCGTCTTAGCCTCTCCAAGTCCACCCTCGTCTCTTCTTCGCAGAAGAACCACCAGGTCGCTGAGCCTCCGTGTGTGGACAGGAGCCTGGAGAGACACACTCGTTGCTTTAGGTGAAGCTATTGGTTCACGTCAGCCTGTGCACATGGAGTCGGAATTGTGATTCCTGCTATTAACCAAGTAGTCATAGCAATGGGAACATGGTAACATAATTGTGTACAGGTGGCAATCATGAATAGCACTCTTTAAAATTACCACTACGAATTGAAAATGTATCTGTACGTATGTATGTTGAACTTCTTTCGCACCATACGTAGCCAACCGCGCTAATCGGAGGTGCACGGGAAGGACAACGAACTAAGCACAATGAGCAGTTCTATAGATATTAGTTTTCAATTTATGATGCATGAATCACGTGTTAGAATGTATGTTTGTATCTGTATATAATGGTTTCATGTCATCCATATGGTCACTAGTGGTCGCTAAATTCAACTAAATGTTATTTTAGAAAATCAACATTTGATATTTTTCATCGAATCAGAAACCCGATTCATGACTAATCGCAAACCCAATTCATGACGATTCGATAAATCGTTGAATCACTGGAATGCGATGCCCTTCCCCCTGTAAGTGAATTATAGCTGTTCAGGGTTGCCTGGCCAGAGACACAACACTGCACACGTTAAGTCCTCGCTTAACGTGTGATCTTCACACAACGCGATAACACGGTTCTTCCATTAGGGAACACTTTACACACATTACGGAACGCGCACCGTTACATAACGTAGAATGCGTGCCGTTATAACACGGAGCGCGTGCCATTATAACACGGAGCGCGTGCCATTATAACACGGAGCGCGTGCCGTTATAACGCAGACTCACCGTTATATTGCAGTTTCTGAGCAGTCAACGACAAACTACTTTCCTGAGCTGCGCGACTTAGCGGTATGACACAGAACACGGAATGTTACGGTAACACGGACAGCGGCGTACCACAAGTTATTCGTCCCGCGATCTTAGTACGTGTGCATACATCGTATCTCGCGAAATGCTATCGTTACATCATTTATGGGGGAAATTGTTACAGCTTCATGCGACACTTTTCAGGAATAAATCCACCGCGTGAAACGAGGACTTACTGCAGCGTAAAGGCGCCCTCTGTTGGTTATACAATGGAATGCAACAGTGACAAACAAACCTACGTTCTGATATTATACAACTACAAATACTACGCTGTGCAGTATTTATTCCTGTAATATAATACTGTTGTTTAGAACAATACCTATATAACACTCAGATAAGTGGCACTGGTTTGTGCGCCAACACAACAGGTTAAAAGGTCAATTCCCAATTGAGGGTGGAGAAATTATGTGCATATTCAGATTCCAAAGAACACAGGATGAGATGTTACTAACCTTTGTGCAAGCACTTCCAAGAGTTCATGAACAGTGAGCCTGGTGAAATTTGGGGAGCGCATCGTCAGTAGTGACCCTTTGGTTCCTAGGGTGTTTCGGCCTTTCATACTATACACCCTCCCCAAAGGCGGCCAGCGACAGGGTGATCAATCCTACGCTTGCGTCCCATTCCCAATTAGTCATAGGAGTTGACTTGCAGTAACACTCTAGCAAGTAAAGAGTGGAAGTCTTATGAAGAGAACTGCTCTGAATTTAGGCTCTTGCATGGACTTTAACTATCACTCTATTCAAAAACGTAGATCGAAGGAAAGAAATATTGCATTCAATGCACACAATATGCAATGAATACCATAAATTGCGGTGGCTGGGTGGCTCATGAGGCTAATACCATAGCAGGACACTGTCCTGGCACTTATATATATCTTGGTTATGAATCCAGGAAAGTCACCCATGAGTAAATGGTTTCTCAAGTGTAATGGTCTCAGCCCAGTGACTGAAGACCGCACAAAATTATCCAAGTAAATTTGGTTTTGCACCAAAATCATCTTTTCTCTAGCACTTTTAAATGTAGATCATTGTGATACAAGAAACTAGAGGCCGACCGAAACTTAATTTCTGGATTCGGCCGAAACCGAATCCAGACCGAAAGTTAAACATTGACTCGGCCGAAACCGAAAGTATGCCACAAGTGTCCATTTGACAACTTTCTGCGCCGAAACCGAATTTCGGTCGGCCTCTACAAGAAACCATGTTTGCAGGAACTGTAAAAGACCTACTACTGGTGTGGACAAGAGGCCTATGAATGGACTTCAAAGAAAGTTCTGTGATTTTGACTTTTGGAGTCGTTCTCTGACACGATGCAATGTGTTAGTACTCGCTGTTCTAGGAGTTATCACTGAACAATTAAATATTGTGAGACAAAAGAATAAAACACAATACATAGATGTGAACCTGCAGTAATTACTGAGGATTTTTTATTTATGCAATTATCATTATATTAAGTAAATAAAGGCATTGCCCTGCAATTGCTTGATGCCACTACTGACAAAAGGACCTCCAATCGAACTGTTTTTTGTGTTTAGTTTGATGTCTTTTTCCCGCACCTCCGATTAGCATGGTTGGCTATGTAAGGTGCGAAATAATTTCAACATACATATATACTCTAAAGTGAATGCTAGCCGGTATTTGGTTTACCATATTTATATAATAGTTCATTATTAATTCCAAAAAGCCTAACAGTAGGAAACAGCTGCTCTATTCCTTCACCAGTTTTCTCGTGTGTGGGAAAAGCTGGCGTGCCTGAACATAAACGAGGGGCAAGCAGATGGGGGGTTGGGGGGGGAGGGTGGACAGCAGCCACACTCTGCATGCGAGATCTGAAAACCACATCTTGAACTGCCTCCTGCACCCGTATCCATGAAGCACATAACTCAAGGACGTACTTGAACTTCTCCGCCACCAACACTGCCTTTCCATGCTTTTAGACAATGTGAGCTGCCTGTCAATTTGTTCGAATTCTCTTGGATCATTTTGTTGCATCACGGGCTGGGCTCAATTCTCTGTCACGGATTGGACGGAGACGGAATTGCATAACAAAAAAATGCAATCATGTCACAGGGTGGCGGACACATTTAACTTTACATCCAAGGTGTCCGACTCACGTGATAACTCGGAAAATCTATTTTTTTTTAACAACTTGAACCATCACATCAGCTCAAGTATTGGGAGAAATCAGGCCAAGTCGAGTGCACTCCAGTCGACTCGAGTTGGCCGTCAATGAAAGCACACTGTACTTTACACACCTCATTCGATTCGCTGTAGGTAGTCGTCTCAGGCAAGGAGCATAAAGCATCATCCGAACTCCGGTCATCCTCGCAGCGGCTGCTGGCTTGGCCATCAAACAAAGACGGTCAGTGCATCTCGCGCTTTCAGACGCGCTTCTGCGGCCGTCTTGAACGCTCTTCCTTCCGATATTAGGAAGCCACTGGAGCTATGCACTTTGAAATCTCGATTGAAAACTCATTTCTTAACAACAACTTTTTGCGTTTATTTGTTTGTCCTTCCCCTGCACCTCCGATTGGCTACGTATGGTGCGAAAGAAGTTCAACATACATACATACAATAGCTCCGTGTCCACTATTAAAAGGTTCGCTATGCAAAAAAAGTTTGCTGCGTAAGTTTAGAAACTCATACGTTGTCACTTAGTACCTGGGAAGTGCTGGGAAAATGGTCCAAGCTCCTGCCACCTCATCCACTTTGTGCAGCAGAACAATGGTAGGGGGAACCTGTCAACACATCACACATTGGGAGTACAGATAACACAAATAAGCAAATGTTTCCCTGCTCCATTACGCATTGGAGTATCTGAAAATGGCAGCCCTGAACCAGCGATAAAAAATCTAATTTTCTATGGTGGGGCACAGTTTCTCTGTAAGACATCCATAAACAACCTCAACATTCCTATAGCTTCCAAGGGCTTCAGAATCATGAAGAACTTTTAAAATAAATCGAAACACTTACTTTTTAAACTTGCTTTCAATTAGGATTTTCTTCATGTGTTATTTTTATTATGTCTTTGCTAGAAATTTGTAACAACGTGATTTTATTTTGTCTACAATTTCACTTTTATTGTTCATGCCTGTAAAGCACTATTTTTTGCATTTTTTGCACAAACAGTGCGACAGAAATAAAGTTTGATTGATTGAAGGACAGTTTAATTGGCATTTAATTGGCCTATGGGAGGTGGTGGGCTGAGTTCATACTGAACCATTTTTATCTCAAGATAGGCTGCTACTGCTCGGTATATTTAAGCAATTTCAGGCTGAGTATTTTGACATATCTATATTAGCGCAATTGTACCATATGGCTGGGATATGTAGGCAAGTCTGTGGGCACCCTTGACATATTTCTTTCGATTATTGTCATCATCAGTACAATGACCACCAGCTGAATAAGCTGTACCCCTTGGTGAGAAATAAACATTGGTCGTTGAAAGACAAAACAGGTTCCCAACATGGCGAAGTGTAATTTCAAAAAATCGGTTATGAATGATCAAAACACGGCCCCAACACGTATTTTGAGCACAGTGGAAACTGTGAATGGCATGAATGGAATACTTTGTAGCTTCATTACACCTACTGCACTGACTGCTAGTAAGTATGCCCCGTCATTAACCTCAGCGTGGAGACGATTGAATTTCAAACCTGTTGAAGTTTTTGCGCTTGCTGTAAGAAGTCCTCTTCGAGTCTTCCAGCGGCCAGCGCATTGTAATGGCTACTTTGACTGTGGATAACTATCACAATGTTCCGCAAGTCTGCGTACGCACACGCACACACACGCAAAAATACATACAACTCAGCAGTCAATGTGGAATCTAAAGACCTGCCTGAGAAACGGCAGATACAGTGGCGGTGCAATGGTTGCACTATAAACCTAATAACCCAAATTTCACCAGGCTCACTGTTCATGAACTCTTGGAAGTGCTTGCACAAAGGATAGTAACATCTCATCCTGTGTTCTTTGGAATCTGAATTTGATTCCCGGCCACAGTCAACATCAGTGACATGGTGAAGTATGGTTAAACAATCCCCATTATCGGCATGGCATGTGGATTGACTAAGGGCTGTAAACTTGTATAATCCCGCACCTCCGATTAGCACAAGAACTTACATTCACGCTAAATGGTGCAATGAGAAGGCCAAGTAGTATTCTACAATGTGATTGATGCGCACAAATTATGAAAGCACCGAAGATGCATATTAATTGACACCGGAGGTCCTGACATTGTATAACACCGAAGATTTATAACATTGTCTGGGCGTGGTGGCACATGCCTGTCATGGAGCAACTTAGATAAGGGGTTGGTGGCTCACACAGGGAACGTGTGGGTGATTCACCCACCTGCAGAGTGGTGAGGTAGTGCCTGTAGGAGGCAGTACAGCAAGTAGGACGTCAACCTATCTGTGTGGACTTGGGCATATTCTACTTTAGCCTGCCTCGCACCATTGTTTCATACCACAACACTCTCCAATATGAAATTTAGCCAATCTGACAAGTCAAAATTTTTTTTTGTTTAAGAGACTCAGTGTGACCTTCCAGGTTGAATAATAATTGTATGGGTATTAAAATGTATTTGCTTTTCAGGATGTCATAACACACGTTCGTTCGTTCGTTTCTCAGTCCGCCTGTCCTGATGAGGGTCGCGGCGGCAGCATGTTGAGTACGGCGGTCCAGTCCTCGAGCTCTTCCTGGGGAATTCCCAGGCGATCCCAGGCCAGCCGAGCGACATGGTCCCGGCAGCGTGTCCTGGGCCGGACTCGGGGTCTTTGCCCAGTGGAACGTACCCGGTAGAATTCCAGAGGGAGTCTCCCGGGGGGCATCCTTATCAGGTGCCCGAACCACCTCTCGTTCCGGAGGAGCAGTGGCTCGACTCTGAGGCTCTCCCAGATTACTGAGCTCCTCACCCGATCACGGAGACTGAGTCTGGTAACCCTTCAGAATAACCAAATTTCGGCGTCTTGTACCCACGATCTCGTTCTTTCGGTCATTACCCAAAGCTCATGATCGTAGGCGAGGGTGGGAATGTAGATAGATCTGTAAACCGAAAGCTTTGTTCGAGAACTCTGCTCCCACTTCACTACCATGGAACGGTACGGTGCTTGCAACACTGCGGACGACACACCGATCCACCGGCCAATCTACCGCTTCCACTTACGCAAAATAGACCTCGAGGTACTTAAACTTCACCACTAAGGGCAGCTGTTCCTCTCTCACCTGGAGGGAACAATCCACCATCTCCCGGGAGTGAACCATGACCTCAGATTTGGAGGTGCTGATCGTCATCCCAGCCGCTTCACACTCGGCATCAACCTGTCCAAGTGCACGCTGGAGATCAAACTGACGAGGCAAACAATGTTGTCTGCAAAAAGCAGCGACCCCACCTCCATGCCCCCGTACTGGATACTCTCCATACCTCGGCTGCGCATTGATATCCTGTCCATGAAAATCACAAACGGGAGTGGAGGCAAGACGCACCCTTGGCAAAGTCCAACACCCACAGTGAACGACTTTGATTTAACACCAAGAATACGGACACAGCTCTAACTCCGGGAATAGAGGGACTGGATAGCACACAAAAGCGGCATGGGTACATCATACTCCCACAGCACCTTCCTCAAGACATTCCAGGCAACACGGTCATATGCTCTCTCCAAGTCTAAAAAGCAGAGTTAGACTGGAGAAGCCTACTCCCATGACCCCTCAAATATCTGTGAGAGGGAAAAGGACTGATCCATTGTTCCACGACCATGACAGAATCCACATTGTTCCTCCTGAATCTGAGGCTCAACCACCGGGCGGAGCCTCCTCTCCAGCACTCTGGCATCAGCTTTACCTGGGACGCTGAGGAGTGTGATCCCTCTGTAGTTGGAGCACATCCTCTGGTCCCCTTTTCTTTAATTGGGAACCACGACCCCAGTTTGCCAATCCAGAGGTACTGTACCCGCTTTTAATGCAACATTGAAGAGGCGTGTGAACCACGACACTCCTACACTGTCCTGCGCTTTCAACAAGTCTGCACGAATCTCGTCCACCTTAGGCTCTCGACCGCTACAGGAACTTCAGCAGCCATGATGGATCCGACCCCCCCCCCCTCAGCTGTTTCCAGGGCTGCCTCCTGAGAGGATGGCATGTCCACCAGGTTGAGGAGCTCCTCAAAGTGTTCCTTCCACCTCTCGACTATCTCCCGAGTTGAGGTCAATGTTTCGCCGCCCTTACCGAAAACAGCCCGAGCTACGTCCCGTCAACCCCTCCTAAGGCGTCGGATGGTTTTTGCAGAAGATCTTTGAGGCTGCCAGGTAGTCCCTTTCCATGACCTCTTCAAACTCCTCCCACAACTTTTGATTCAGCAACTGCTGCAGCTACCGCCCTCTTGGCAAGCCGGTACCTCTCAATCGAGTCGGGAAACATTTTCCCGAGCATTGCTCAGAAAGCCTCCATCTTCAACTTGACAGCTTCCCTCACCACTTGTGTCCACTATGGAGTCGGCAGGTGGCACTCTGTAGAGCATTCCACCCACTGTCTCCAAGAAGGTCGAATACTCTGAACTGCTATTTTGTGCATAAGTACAGACAACAGTTAGAGTATTCCTTTCTGAGACCCGAAGTCTCATTGAGGCGACCATCTCATCCACTCGGACAAACTCCAACTGAATAGTAACCAGCCAGGGGCTTGTGAGTATCCCCACACCCACCCGGGGCCTCTCACCAGGGGTAACTCCGAAATAGGAGAGAGACTACCCCGATTGAGAAGTTTGGTTGCAGTGCCAATGCTGTGCGTGGAGGTGAGACCGGCCATACCTAGTCAGTACCTTTCCACCTCCTCCACCAGCTCTGATTCCTTCCCCCCCAGTGATGTGACATTCCATGTCCAAACAGCTAGTTTCCATTGCCAAGGTCCAGTCCGTCTGAGACCATCACTCTCCCTGCCATACCGGCATTACACCCGCCCCTCACCCTTCATCCTGCAAATGGTGGGCCCACAGGACAGCGCCACATAGTCATTTCGGGCTGGGCCCGACCGGGTTACGTGGGGTCACCTGGCCACCAGGCGCTTGCCAGTAAACACCACCCCAGGCCTGGCTCCAGGGGTGTGTTGCTGTATCCCTTGTCTGGGCAAGGTTCTCTGATTTTTGTATTGTTTAACCAATCATGAGGAACTTTTTTTGGACCGTTATTTGTCTGGAACCTCCCCCCAGAGCTGTTCGCCAAGGGAGACCCTACCAAGAGTACAAGACTCGAGTCGACATAGCTCTGAGGGTCATTGGAACACACAAACCCCACCACCACAATAAGGTTACGATCCTTTGGTGGCACACTCTCACCTGTGGCTTGGCCAGTGGAAACTTTACTTGATGAAGCATCATTCTGGAAGCACACATTCAATCTGTATTAAAATTACCATCGACCAAATCACCCAGAATAGTCCTGATCATGTCAGACCTCAGACGCTAAGCAGGTTTGAGCCTGGATGGGTTCTGTGATGGGCAACCACCTTGCATAAAAGAGGTTGTTTTAGGGCAGTAAAGGCCAGTGCAGCCTAAGAAAGTTTTGTTTTATACCCCATTACCTACTCCCACTGACCAGCAAGGTGAAATATGGTCAAAGAACCCACATTGGCATGAAAAAACACTTATGGACATAGTCCACCAACCCTGCTGTTCATTCTGAAACGCAAGTGTTTTACTTTTAACGCAATTCTCATCAATGAGACATTGCAGGAGGTACAGCTGGGATGAACTGCAAACTAAACTATAAACTATTTTTATTTTACCAGGTAAGGCCCACTGAGCAATATCACTATTTTTCAGAAGCGACCTGGCCATAAATGATAGCTCAATAAAGTGGCTTATCATGTGGAAATGTATAGCAGCCAAATACTCTAAACACATGTTGATTCTAAAAGTGGAAGGAAAAACCAGTGGACTTGGAGATCAATCTACACAACCAAGGGAAGAACATGCAAACTCCAAATATACAAGCATCAAGTCGGGATCGAACTCACGATCTCCTGCATACTAGGTGAGATAGTTAACATCCCACCACAAAAGAAAATAAATTACCACCACACACACCAATAAGTTAGAAAATTGAAAGCAGACATTTATGAGCAGTTTTTGCAAGAGTGGATGAGAATAGGCATGGGATTCAGTGGAGGAGATCCCAGAAAATCAGTATGTTATTTATATGTATCAGGGAAAATATATTGCATTTTGTTTATTAAAGGGCCCTATTTAAAAAGCTTAAAACTTTGAGGCCCCCCTTGGGAAGTTTCTAGATCAGCCTCTGATGAGATTCAAATAGAAAATATGATTGGTTGAAGGATTTTGAATATACAGATGTTGTGGTTGATGTGCTGTGAAATGCAAGGCATGTCAATATGGTCCTTTCCAAAACTATTACAAACATTTGAATGTAAGTGGTCCATGTTGCAACAAGGTTGGCTCCCATGTGCAGGCACTATCGAATACTCAACACGTAAAAACATGAGACACGTTCGGAATGCATTCAACACCTAGAAAAACATTAGTATCACCTCTTCATCAAAATGCCAATACACTTACTTGAGTTGCTTCACTGCATACACAGAGCCCTGAAAGAACAAGAAGAAACAAATACAATATAAATTTGTGATTATAATTATTACACTTTTTTCTAAATGTTTTGGGGGTTTTTCAGAATACCTAGATCAACTGTGAACGGTAAGGAAATGAATTACTAAGATATTCTACATATTTTAATCCATGAAAAGTGTTCTATGAAGTGGGAGAGAAAAAAACACCCTGGCCTGACTTTTTCTCTATAGTAACAGAGTTTTGGCATTTTACCGATCACTGAATTCATTACCAATAAAACGAAATGTCAAGCAGCTGAATGCCACCCTGTGTGCACGGTCACAAAACGAGCTTTCATATTTGCCACACTGCCACAGCTTTCCTCAGCTGCAACGTCCTAGATTACTTAGAAATGGATGGAATAAACATATTTGCATGTGTACGTGAACACCAGTCTTCACTGTGAGATGTTTAATTTCAGCTCTGTATGGTAATAATAATACAATTTATGACGCGCGCAATGTTGCGAACTGAAGATGCAATTCTGAGGCATGAAGCCGAGCTCGGTAAAGGTGGAGGACTGCCACCCAGACACCTCGTGTCTAGTTTAACACTTAGACTTTCGCGACGAATACCATCCATAATATGTTTTTTCGGGGTTAGATCGCGTAAATATAAATGCATCGTTAAACCCGCCACCACCCGACACAGCCAATGAGTAAGGTTTGCGACATAAACACAACGTGGCCACGAGCACGTACTACTAAAACTAACTCTGAGCATGACATTACACAATATGATACATCAGATAATGGCCACCAGTATGTACAGAGTGGTCCAGATGTCTTGTAACCCCTCCCCCCCCCCCAATTAATTGACCCCTAACATGTTTTTCCTTTGCTTATTTGTATCCGTTTTCACAGCAATTGCTATGCAAAAAATACATTTTTGATGATTAAATGGGATTCACATAACATCTGGACCACCCTGTACTACTTAATTTCTGACCAAGAATTACAATATGCCACAATATAGATATAAAAAGCATCTCATGTGGCCAATATATGTTGTGTACATAGAAGGACGTGCATCATCAGATAATCTGAACAGAGGAATTTTATTTTTTGGAATGTTTTGGGTTTGTTTCAGAGAAGTAGACTGCTAAGAGTTGAGAGTGGAGCTGGCTGGTTGGTAAAGGTTTTGGATGACATTTCAGAGGCTGAGGATAATAAGAGGACATTGGTTATGGACGTGAACTTAGATGATCAGAAAAAGACCAATAAAGAGCCACTACATGGGATTCCATTTCATGCATGTTACAATTTGGTCAGCTACTACAGTATTTGGTAATGAAAAATGTGAATGTTTTAAAAGTAAAATAAGAAACAATTTAGGCACGTTAGTATGTTATTAAAATGTACATACATTATTGTATTTAATGTATAACATTGTATACATTTCATGAAATAAACTATTAATGGAATTAAATCCTGTCATACTTTATACAGCATTCTATAATGCAACTTACTTAAAATCGTGAGTTACATGTTTTACTTGTGTAGTGTCTTCAAAAATTACTCATAACAAGTCACCTTACACCTTATTCACCTATTCTTGCACCAGATGTACGCACTCCTTTAACTATCTTTACGGTCACTTATATTTAATCTCTCCCCACTCTTATCTACCTTTCACCTCCCTTATCCTGCACTCAGCAGCTCTGCCCTCAGCGTCTCCACACACAGCGTCTCCGCTCTCAGCGTCTCCACACACAGCGACTCCGCACACAGCATCTCTCCATCTCCACCGCTGCCCCTGGAGCGGCGACAACGGCGAGATGTCTTCACTCTTGGTTCCCGGCAACAACTCCCCTCCGCTGACACACACTCCAGCTTATATCACTTTGCTAATTATCCGAGACCTCCCGTGTGTCTCTTTAGGTTCTCGCCAGGCTGGTGTCTTTTGGCCCATCAATAAACCTCGTTGACAGCAACTACCGGTAGCAGCACATGCACAACCGGTCAACCCCATTTGCACCTGCTTTGCCCCCTTACAACCTGCATTTCATCCGTGCAAACCTCACGCGTGCCTGTTTGCCCTTCGGTGAACGGTGCGCACCGCGTATTTCACTACTCTACACACATGTACTGCCGCTCGATTTTTTTTGCTGAATATTTTTTATATTCTGGCCCTGAAAAGGCAGGCTTTGTTTTAGCTTCTAGCAATACAAACTGTATCGCATTGGTCTATTAAGACAGGTCTCCCTTTGAAGAGATGTTCTGTACTCAAAGGGACTCTTATCTGATTTAAAGGGTATCCATCGGAACGTTTTGCACCGTTTTAAATGGTATATTCTGCATTATTTACACACGATTATTGGACGTGTGCATTGTTTTGTTATACTTAGTCAATCCCAGACATCACTTCATGTAGACACTCAATTGGTTATTACGTGGATATGAAGCTTATCTGGTTTCACTGCTGATAACGAACGTATATTTTGACCAACCACTTTATTCACCTTATTTTACCTTTCTAATCTGCCAATCACCACCCATCAATCAGCAATGAACTGGGTATTATTAAAGATATTCACATTGACGCTCAACATTCGGGTTTACTGAAAATCTACGTCAATTGGCATATTGATCAAGTGACGACTGGATAGGATTAGCTCTGTTGGGTGGTGGAGGGTTATAGGTAAAAGATGACCTAACCCAAATCAACTAATTATCAATTTTACTGGTCGTAAAGGCCCACGTACATAATTGTTTTCACTATTGTTAACATGGGCGGATGTTATTATAGTGATCATTAAAACCACTGGTATTTTTGTTTTTATTGCCTCTACATTACTGCAGTTAAGTTTGACGATTCACGTAGCAATTGGAGAATCACAAAATCACCACATTCTACTTATTCACATGGTATACACGTTGTAATCAAACATCACGTACATTATAATACCTACAGGACACACGTGATGTACACAACACACACGCATGTACTCGCATTACTCGCCTGTACTATACTCACACAAGGTGACACACACTACACGTGGCACGTGTGTGGAACTCACACAGTACACATGTGTACTGACTCAAGGTACCTCCGTGTACTAACAAAGAACACAGTACACACGTGATGTACACAACACACACACGCATGTACTCACATTACTCGCCTGTACTATACTCACACAAGGTGACACACACTACACGTGGCACGCGTGTGGAACTCACACGGCACGAGTCACACACTCTCACACACACACACGTGTACTCAGCGCATCACACGTGTACTCAGCGCATCACACGTGTACTCAGTGCATCACACGTGTACTCAGTGCATCACACGTGTACTCACACAGTCGACACACACCATGCACGTGTAGTATTCTCACGCAGTACTCTCGTACAGTACACACGTGTGGCTATCGCAGTATACACGTGTGGTACTCGCAGTACGTGTGGTACTCGCAGTATACACGTGTGGTACTCGCAGTACGTGTGGTACTCGCAGTATACACGTGTGGTACTCGCAGTACGTGTGGTACTCGCAGTATACACGTGTAGTACTCACAGTACGTGTAGCCCTCGCAGTACGTGTGGTACTCGCAGTACGTGTGGTACTCGCAGTATACACATGTAGTACTCACAGTACGTGTAGCTCTCGCAGTACGTGTGGTACTCGCAGTACGTACAGAACTCGCAGTACACGTGTAGTACTACTGCGTACTACACGTGTGTGTGTGTGTGGTATTCACAGTAGTACTACACGTGTGTGTGTGTGTGATACAGTAGTACTACACGTGTGTGTGATACTCACACACACACACACGTGTAGTACTACACGTGTGTGTGTGTGTATGATACTCACAGTAGTACTACACGTGTGTGTGTGTGATACTCACAGTAGCACTACACGTGTGTGTGTGTGTGGTACTCAAAGTAGTACTACACGTGTGTGTGTGGTACTCACAGTAGTACTACACGTGTGTGTGTGGTACTCAAAGTAGTACTACACGTGTGTGTGTGGTACTCACAGTAGCACTACACGTGTGTGTGTGGTACTCACAGTAGTACTAAACGTGTGTGTGTGGTACTCAAAGTAGTACTACACGTGTGTGTGTGGTACTCACAGTAGTACTACACGTGTGTGTGTGGTACTCAAAGTAGTACTACACGTGTGTGTGTGGTACTCACAGTAGTACTACACGTGTGTGTGTGGTACTCACAGTAGTACTACACGTGTGTGTGTGGTACTCACAGTAGTACTACACGTGTGTGTGTGTGGTACTCACAGTAGTACTACACGTGTGTGTGTGGTACTCACAGTAGTACTACACGTGTGTGTGTGGTACTCAAAGTAGTACTACACGTGTGTGTGTGGTACTCAAAGTAGTACTACACGTGTGTGTGTGGTACTCACAGTAGTACTACACGTGTGTGTGGTACTCACAGTAGTACTACACGTGTGTGTGTGGTACTCAAAGTAGTACTACACGTGTGTGTGTGTGGTACTCACAGTAGTACTACACGTGTGTGTGTGTGATACAGTAGTACTACACGTGTGTGTGTGTGATACAGTAGTACTACACGTGTGTGTGTGTGATACAGTAGTACTACACGTGTGTGTGGTACTCACAGTAGTACTACACGTGTGTGTGTGATACAGTAGTACTACACGTGTGTGTGTGTGATACAGTAGTGCACGTGTGTGTGTGATACTCACAGTAGCACTACACGTGTGTGTGTGATACAGTAGTACTACATGTGTGTGTGATACAGTAGTACTACACGTGTGTGTGTGTGGTACTTACAGTAGTACTACACGTGTGTGTGTGATACAGTAGTACTACACGTGTGTGTGTGATACTCACAGTAGCACTACACGTGTGTGTGTGGTACTCACACACTACACGTGTGTGTGTGTGATACTCACAGTAGCACTACACGTGTGTGTGTGGTACTCACAGTAGTACTACACGTGTGTGTGTGTGGTACTCACAGTAGCACTACACGTGTGTGTGTGTGGTACTCACACACTACACGTGTGTGTGTGGTACAGTAGTACTACACGTGTGTGTGTGTGATACTCACAGTAGTACTACACGTGTGTGTGTGGTACAGTAGCACTACACGTGTGTGTGTGTGGTACTCACACACTACACGTGTGTGTGTGTGATACTCACAGTAGCACTACACGTGTGTGTGTGTGTGGTACTCACAGTAGTACTACACGTGTGTGTGTGTGTGTGATACTTACAGCAGTACTACACGTGTGTGTGTGTGTGGTACTTACAGTAGTACTACACGTGTGTGTGTGGTGTGGTACTCACAGTAGTACTACACGTGTGTGTGTGTGGTACTCACAGTAGCACTACACGTGTGTGTGTGTGATACTCACAGTAGTACTACACGTGTGTGTGTGGTACTCACACACTACACGTGTGTGTGTGTGATACTCACAGTAGCACTACACGTGTGTGTGTGATACTCACAGTAGTACTACACGTGTGTGTGTGTGATACTCACAGTAGCACTACACGTGTGTGTGTGTGATACTCACAGTAGCACTACACGTGTGTGTGTGTGGTACTCGCAGTAGTACTACACGTGTGTGTGTGATACTCACAGTAGTACTACACGTGTGTGTGTGTGATACAGTAGTATTGCACGTGTGTGTGTGTGTGATACTCACAGTAGCACTACACGTGTGTGTGTGTGATACTCACAGTAGTACTACACGTGTGTGTGTGTGATACTCACAGTAGCACTACACGTGTGTGTGTGTGATACTCACAGTAGCACTACACGTGTGTGTGTGTGGTACTCGCAGTAGTACTACACGTGTGTGTGTGATACTCACAGTAGTACTACACGTGTGTGTGTGTGATACAGTAGTATTGCACGTGTGTGTGTGTGTGTGATACTCACAGTAGCACTACACGTGTGTGTGTGATACTCGCAGTAGTACTACACGTGTGTGTGTGGTACAGTAGTACTACACGTGTGTGTGATACAGTAGTACTACACGTGTGTGATACTCACAGTAGTACTACACGTGTGTGTGATACAGTAGTACTACACGTGTGTGATACTCACAGTAGTACTACACGTGTGTGTGTGTGATACAGTAGTATTACACGTGTGTGTGTGTGATACTCACAGTAGTACTACACGTGTGTGTGTGATACTCACAGTAGCACTACACGTGTGTGTGTGAGGTACTCACAGTAGTACTACACGTGTGTGTGTGGTACTCACAGTAGCACTACACGTGTGTGTGTGTGATACAGTAGTACTCCACGTGTGTGTGTGGTACTCACAGTAGTACTACACGTGTGTGTGTGTGTGTGGTACTCACAGTAGCACTACACGTGTGTGTGTGTGTGTGGTACTCACAGTAGTACTCCACGTGTGTGTGTGTGTGTGGTACTCACAGTAGCACTACACGTGTGTGTGTGTGTGATACTCACAGTAGTACTACACGTGTGTGTGTGTGATACTCGCAGTAGTACTACACGTGTGTGTGTGTGATACTCACAGTAGTACTACACGTGTGTGTGTGTGATACTCACACTAGCACTACACGTGTGTGTGTGTGTGGTACTCACAGTAGCACTACACGTGTGTGTGTGTGTGTGGTACTCACAGTAGCACTACACGTGTGTGTGTGTGGTACTCACAGTAGTACTACACGTGTGTGTGTGGTACTCACAGTAGTACTGGTGTGTGTGATACTCACAGTAGCACTACACGTGTGTGTGTGTGGTACTCGCAGTAGTACTACACGTGTGTGTGTGTGTGATACAGTAGTACTACACGTGTGTGTGTGTGTGATACTCGCAGTAGTCCTACACGTGTGTGTGTGTGGTACTCGCAGTAGTACTACACGTGTGTGTGTGTGTGTGATACTCACAGTAGTACTACACGTGTGTGTGTGTGATACTCGCAGTAGCACTACACGTGTGTGTGTGATACAGTAGTATTACACGTGTGTGTGTGATACAGTAGTATTACACGTGTGTGTGTGTGATACTCACAGTAGTACTACACGTGTGTGTGTGTGATACTCACAGTAGTACTACACGTGTGTGTGTGTGTGTGATACTCACAGTAGTATTACACGTGTGTGTGTGTGTGTGATACTCACAGTAGTACTACACGTGTGTGTGTGTGTGATACTCGCAGTAGTACTACACGTGTGTGTGTGTGATACTCACAGTAGTACTACACGTGTGTGTGTGATACAGTAGTACTACACGTGTGTGTGTGTGTGATACTCACAGTAGTACTACACGTGTGTGTGTATGTGGTACTCACAGTAGTACTACACGTGTGTGTGTGTGTGGTACTCACAGTAGTACTACACGTGTGTGTGTGATACTCACAGTAGTACTACACGTGTGTGTGTGTGATACTCACAGTAGCACTACACGTGTGTGTGATACTCACAGTAGTACTACACGTGTGTGTGTGTGATACTCACAGTAGCACTACACGTGTGTGTGTGATACTCACAGTAGTACTACACGTGTGTGTGTGTGTGGTACTCACAGTAGTACTACACGTGTGTGTGTGGTACTCACAGTAGTACTACACGTGTGTGTGTGATACAGTAGTACTACACGTGTGTGTGTGATACAGTAGTACTACACGTGTGTGTGTGATACAGTAGTACTACACGTGTGTGTGTGTGTGTGTGATACTCACAGTAGTACTACACGTGTGTGTGTGATACAGTAGTACTACACGTGTGTGTGTGTGTGATACTCGCAGTAGTACTACACGTGTGTGTGTGATACTCACAGTAGTACTACACGTGTGTGTGTGATACAGTAGTACTACACGTGTGTGTGTGTGATACTCGCAGTAGTACTACACGTGTGTGTGTGATACTCACAGTAGTACTACACGTGTGTGTGATACTCGCAGTAGTACTACACGTGTGTGTGTGTGATACTCGCAGTAGTACTACACGTGTGTGTGTGTGTGATACTCACAGTAGTGCTACACGTGTGGTACTCACAGTAGTACTACACGTGTGTGTGGTACTCACAGTAGTGCTACACGTGTGTGGTACTCACAGTAGTACTACACGTGTGTGTGTGTAATACTCACAGTAGTACTACACGTGTGTGTGTGTGTGGTACTCACAGTAGTACTACACGTGTGTGTGTGTGGTACTCACAGTAGCACTCCACGTGTGTGTGTGTGGTACTCACAGTAGCACTACACGTGTGTGTGTGTGGTACTCACAGTAGTACTACACGTGTGTGTGTGTGGTACTCACAGTAGCACTACACGTGTGTGTGTGGTACTCACAGTAGTACTACACGTGTGTGATACTCACAGTAGTACTACACGTGTGTGTGGTACTCGCAGTAGTGCACGTGTGTGTGTGTGGTACTCGCAGTAGTACACGTGTGTGTGTGGTACTTACAGTAGTACTACACGTGTGTGTGTGATACTCACAGTAGTACTACACGTGTGTGATACTCACAGTAGTACTACACGTGTATGTGATACTCGCAGTAGTACTACACGTGTGTGTGTGATACAGTAGTACTACACGTGTGTGTGTGTGGTACTCACAGTAGTACTACACGTGTGTGTGTGATACAGTAGTACTACACGTGTGTGTGTGTGGTACTCGCAGTAGTGCACATGTGTGTGTGTGGTACTCGCAGTAGTAAACGTGTGTGTGTGTGATACAGTAGTACTACACGTGTGTGTGTGTGTGTGGTACTCGCAGTAGTACACGTGTGTGTGTGGTACTTACAGTAGTACTACACGTGTGTGTGTGTGATACTCACCCAGAGCGATCGCCACCAACGCGCAGCTGAGCGCGGCCCGAGCAGAAGCCGACATCACCGGATCGTGTTGGCCGCAAGCGTCACGCTCGCTCTCACCACACCAAGAAGAACGCATCTGTTGTTATTAATAACAATAGTGCCTATCAGTGCCTTGTGTGTGTGTGGGGGGGATCACACAGTGAACGCTCAGAGCGGAGGAAGCCGCCCGCTTAAATCCTGCGCCGCGGCGTGGCCGGGTCGAGGTGGCACCTTCCTGGCTCGCTCACAGCCATCGTGGGCCACCCCAAACCCACAGCCCCTTGTGTCAGTCAGGCAGGGCTCTCTCTCTGCCTTGTTACAGAGTAATTCAGACCTTGCTGGTCAACCCGTGCCACTTGTACATCCCAATGTTCATCCTGCAAAGTCACATCATCACAAGGGAGAAACACAAAAAAAAAATTTGTAATGAATATGTAGTTTTTTTCTGTACTAAAGCCTGGCAATTCATTGTGTCAGTGCTCTCTGTCTTGTTACAGAGAAATTCAGACTTTGCTGGTCACCCCGTGGCCCCTTGTACATCCCAATGTTCATCCTGCAAAGTCCCATCATCACAAGGGAGAAACACAAACAATTTTTGTAATGCATATGTAGTTTTTTTGTCTGTACTAAAGCCTGTCAACCCCATTTGTCAGTGCTCTCTGCCTTGTTACAGAGAAATTCAGACCTTGCTGGTCACCCCGTGCCCCCTTGTACATCCCAATGTTCATCCTTTAAAGTCCCATCATCACAAGGGAGAAACACAAACAATTTTTGTAATGCATATGTAGTTTTTTGTCTGTACTAAAGCCTGGAAATGCCTTGTGTGTCAGTGCTCTCTGCCTTATTACAGAGAAATTCAGACCTTGCTGGTCACCCCGTGCCCCCTTGAAAATCTCAACGTTCATCCTACAAAGTTCCATCATCACAAGGGAGAAACACAAATACACACAAAATAGTTTTTGTAATGCATATGTAGTTTTTTGTCTGTACTAAAGCCTGTCAACCCCGTGTGTGTCAGTGCCCTACCTTATTACAGACCAATTCATACCTTATTGGTCACCCCGTGCCCTTGTAAATCTCAAAGTTCATCAATACAAAGTTCCATCTCAAGGGAGAAATTGAGAGAAATACAAATAACTTTAATCGATCTGACAGCTACAGGCTTAGTGCGGCCTGGAAGCGTATTATTAAATAATATATATTACAATTACAATTCCTTATAGGGGAAACAAATACTAATTAATAACAATTTAATGATTACCAATCTATTATATAATTACAATACCCTCCCCCTCTCCAGCAGCAGGGTGACGGAGGAGCGAATGGAGCTTAATGTGGTGACTTAAACGGTGCCATTCTTTGGTCTAAAATTGTTGCGACAAGGTAATGAAAGAGGCTGTCTCTGGTGTAAGCCAATAGCTTTCAAGGACAATGCACACATTACCAAAGCATGTCTGTTTGCATGTTTTGCCACAATCATGTGTGGTTAATGCCTTATTATAGGTGTCTATTTGGTGATTGGTCATCTTAACACCTGTATTCTTGCAGGAAAATGAAAAGCCTTTTCTTTTTGTCATCATATTGATACTGCCAAAAAGGGTCCCATAGATATCTGGAATTTAATATTGTCCTGCCGTGAACGGATCCCATTGTGTTCAGTGAGAGCTCTTTCTGAAAACCATGATTTGTTCAACAGGCCGTACTCTTCTTCTTGGTTCTTTCGGTAAAATCATGTAGAAGGGAAAGAGCCAAGAAGATGAATCCCTGCAGTCACGAAAGCTTTAAATCGAAATTTAGGCCGTACTCTGCTGATGAGACCCAAAACAATATTATCCAGTCCAGGGTGTGCCTAATACAGTAGACAAATGCAAATGAAAAACACTGATTCAGAAGACCCAGAGAATAACGAACGATAATGTTTGTTTATATATAAGTGATGAAACAGCAGAATCAGCAGAGGTGGCAGCAGATTGGAGAGGTCTTCAACAGTGGATTGACAAAGTCTGATGATGATGTTGATTATTACCTCGAATTCAACTACCTACTGCACAACACATTTGAAATACTTGCATTAGCACCTGAATCACAAAGTACCAAGCACTGTCAATAACAATGAGTGTTGTCATTGGATATAAAAAAAATTAAATAAAAAAACACAAACTTGTAGTAAAGACATCTCAAAGAATGGCCCAGGAAGATTATGCCAATGCACTGCTTCTATTGGTGTCACTTATATTGTCATATACGGGATATATATTTATGTATTTGTATCTGGTGCTCTGTGTGAAAGTCACGTGTACAAATCATTGCATGTCAGTCAGTACGTGTCAGTTATAATTATGCAAGTTTCTTCTGCAGTTTAAGTGGCTCCATCGTGCTCTGTAAAGTGTCACCACACAACAATTTCATTAATCCATTTAAGGCCCTATAGATAATAATTTTCACTTATTACGCAAGTTTTCACAGCCAATATTAGGATTAATAATATATTTTTGGGTGAGGCCTTGAAATTATTTGAATAAATCTGTTTCGTCCAGCACCCTCCAACATCCGACACATCCATACAAAAATGTCACGTTTACAAACGTTTAACGAGCTAATTATGACTGTTTCAGCTCACTGCTAAGTTGACAAACAATCCTAATAAATTCAGCAATTAGCTACACTGGCTAACCCAGTTTAATCAGATGTGGATGTTTGGATTCTGACCCAGGATGGTTTGGGATCTGGTTCAGTGTCCCAACATGTGTACTGTATACTCTTTGGTTCTTTCGGTAAAGTCACAAGCGCCAGAATTCAGGTGAAAATCGCTGATGTCTGCTGCTGACATCGCAGCTGTCGCGATTTTCACCTGAAGACAGACTCTTGTGTAGCGTTCGAAACGTCGTGATTTGTTTTATTTTATTTCTACCTCCGTGACTTTACCGAAAGAACCAAAGACTATGGATTCCTGTAGTAATAAAAGCTTCAAATCAATGTGTGCGGTATTATGAACCATATGAACCACCCAGCCACCTCATATAAAACATGACTTACTTCCAGCCAATCTTACATATATTTCTGGCTACCAGAGCACACAATTTAACGTCTCATTTTATGAATGTTGTATTTGCTTAGAACTATATAGGAACCTTTCATTGCATTTGTCCTGATAAATTACATAATATGTAATTAAACCCATTCAATAAAACTGCATATATTTGAGCATTTTTGAACTTCAGTGATGACACCAGTCGACACTGGCTGACGTTTGCTCAAATGATGGAGCACTCGCCTATTCCAGCTGGCTTCTGTTACTGGTAGGAACCTCCTGGTTACACCAGCCCACAGGGGATTATTGTGTCCGTCCGTCGTGAAGGGAGGGGCTGGGTGGGGAGGGTGGGGAGGGGCTGGGTGGGGTGGGGTTGGGTGGGGAGGGGCTGGTCACCCCGTGGTGCCCTTATAAAACTCAACGTTTAACCTACTCACGCCGGCTTGTGCCCGCCCTCACAGTCGGACATATTTGCGGAATACACCACGCCGCCGTTGACCCTGGCCATTGACCGAGCAACCCGACGTTCCTACCAGCTCCCTCCGCAGGAATGTGTTTAATAAATGATAATCCCTCTTGCAAAGAATGGCCAACCTCACGCCCCCTGCCGGCCAGTCTCATAAAGGGCATCTGCCAACTCGTAAGCTCTGGTTTAATAGTGAAATAATTTAGTTTATCCAGGAGTGTCTTCATACGACACAACTCTCTTTTTTCAGGAGAGTTCTACATTGTGATGTTTTTACTAGTCCCTCACTGAGGCTCGACTATTTTAAGGTGTATGCAGCAGGAGGCGATGATGCTATGCGAAAACACAATTGAGTAATTCGCAGGGGTTTATTTGCATTGGAATATTTGGTTAAATTGTATGGGTTTTTTTAATGGGAAACCCATGCATAAGAAACTACACAGAGAAAGGGAATTACACTTAGGCCTGCCGCCCAGGCCAATCCCTGCTTGACGAGGCTCATAAACCTGAAACTGGTCCCGAATGTAAATGTTTAAACCAGAGGGCCGTCCATAAATGACGTCACGCGATTTTGGACGATTTTTGACCCCCCCCCTCAAATATGACGTCACAAAGCTCTGCCCCCGCCCCCAAAATAAAACATGCTTCAAATCGCTTTAAACTATTGACATTGTTGTGCGTATTTAATGTGCCGCTGCACTCTGATGTTGTCGGAGAAAACATTTATTAAAAAGTCTATTTAATTAAGTAGAACGTGGCGTCTATATTTATTTAAAGTTGCCCATTTTGATGTGACGTCACATTTCTCAAACCCCCCCCCCTCGTTACACATCGTCACAAATGTGTGACCCCCCCCTCCCCTAGTTGCGTGACGTCATTTATGGACGGCCCCCAGGTAAAAGCCCGCTGAGCTTATAGCTCTTTTTTTATTTTATCCTTTATTTTAAGTTCGCTTGCGTGCTTGCTTGCGCGCTTGCGACCGTGCAAATCTCTCGGTCGTTTTTTAACCCACTTCCCGTGATCCAATCGAGCTGACGTTTTCCACACAGACTCGTTGTGCGTGACAATTAATTTTCGTGAAAATTTTTTTCAAAATTTTACACTTTTTAGGGAATATTTTTTAAATATTTAATTACCAATTGCTTAATGGTGGCAATCATCTGACCCATAGGTGGCAGCCATCTCAAGCCAGAGGACGAGCGGACTCTAGCCGCCACGCATATAAAGGATTTATAGTGAAAAACTTTTTTTTACTGGTTAATTTTTTCAGAATCGACCTGGCCACAAATGAAAGCTCAAAGAAGAGCCTCGTCGTGTGGATATTTACATCAGCCAAATACTCTAAACGCATGTTTCTGGATTCTACTGGGAATGTTGGTCCAGATGATGGCTTTCGACTGATGGACCAACATTTTATCTTACGTCAAGAAGTATGCGTCTTAATTAGCATTGCACGTGGAAGACTTTGGCTCAGGAGCCCCAAATGACCATTTTAGATCACCAATTGGACCCGTCTGCTGTTTCTCACAATGTATTGTACGTGAAAAACATAGATTCAGCAGGCTCATGTACCAAGAGTATTATTTTTATTGATCTCAATTGCCTTTTAAAATAAATCTATCCCGTGTCTCTGTGGAACATCAGTCCAATAAGATAGATTTGGGGCAGTTATTTTATATTTTCAGTCATCAAACATTCACATTCGTTTCGAACCGTGAGGGAGCCCATCGTGTATTGGCAGTGCGGGGGGGGGGGCCTGACCACGCGTTGAGGGGGGCCCGGACCACGCGGTGAGGGGGGGGGCCCTTACCGTGCGGTGAGGGGGGGGGCCTGGCCATGCGTTGAGGGGGGGGGGCTGGCCATGCGGTGAGGGGGGGGGCCTGGCCATGCGGTGAGGGGGGGGCCCTGGCCGTGCGGTGAGGGGGGGGGAGCCTGGCATTGTTGTGAGGGGGGGCACTGGCCATGCGTTGATGGGGGGGGCCCTGACCACACGGTGAGGGGGGGGGCCCTGGCCGTGCGGTAATGGGGGGGGGGGGCCTGGCATTGTGGTGAGGGGGGGCACTGGCCGTGCGGTGAGGGGGGGGGGGGCTTGGCCGTGCAGTGATGGGGGGGGGGCCTGACCACGCGGTGAGGGGGGGGGGGCCCTGGCCGTGCGGTAATGGGGGGGGGCCCTGGCCACGCGGTGAGGGGGGGGGGCCCTGACCACGCGGTGAGGGGGGGGGCACTGGCCGTGCGGTGAGGGGGGGCCCTGGCCACGCGGTGAGGGGGGGGGCCCTGGCCGTGCGGTAATGGGGGGGGGGGAGCCTGGCATTGTGGTGAGGGGGGGGGCACTGGCCGTGCGGTGAGGGGGGGCCCTGGCCACGCAGTGAGGGGGGGGGCACTGGCCGTGCGGTGAGGGGGGGCCCTGACCACGCGGTGAGGGGGGGGGGGCACTGGCCGTGCGGTGAGGGGGGGCCCTGGCCACGCGGTGAGGGGGGGGGGCCCTGGCCACGCGGTGAGAGGGGGGGCACTGGCCGTGCGGTGAGGGGGGGGGCCCTGACCACGCGGTGAGGGGGGGGGGCACTGGCCGTGCGGTGAGGGGGGGCCCTGGCCACGCGGTGAGGGGGGGGCCCTGGCCACGCGGTGAGGGGGGGGGGGCCTGGCCACGCGGTGAGGGGGGAGGGGCCTGGCTACGCGGTGAGGGGGGGGGGGGGTCTGGACCACGCGGTGAGGGGGGGGGCCTAGCCATGCGGTGAGGGGGGGGGGTCTGGACCACGCGCTGAGGGGGGGGCCTAGCCATGCGGTGAGGGGGGGGGCCTAGCCATGCGGTGAGGGGGGGGGGCCTAGCCATGCGGTGAGGGGGGGGGGGGCCCGGACCCCGCGGTGAGGGGGGCCAGACCTCGCGGTCTGAGTTTAAACCCCGCGCGCTTCCCCCACGGCGCGCGGTGATGACGTCGTCCCGCCTCGCGCCGCGCGCGCGACGATTGCGCGGCAGCGCGGCAACAACCGCAGCGCCGATTGGACCCGTCGTCCCGTCGCAAACAGCCAATCAGAGCGCGCCTGACGCCGCCGGCAGAGCTAGCAACGGTGGCGGCGGAGGGGGGCGGGGTTTGTACGCGTTTGAATTTCCCACATCGGATAAGCCGCGACGGAGAAGGCGGGGCTTTAAAAGCGATTGTATTTTCTACATGGGATAAGCCGCTATCCGGGGGGCGGAGTCATAGGCGTGCTAGGGGGCGGGGTTTTCAGGCGATTACATTTCCCACACCGGATAAGCCGCAATCGAGGGGGCGTGGCGTCAGCGCTTTTAACGCAGCTCATTGGTGCCCATCGCGACTAGCCCCGCCCTCCCCCCCTCAGCCATCCAATCACGAACAGCCTCGCAACCGCCGCCGCCCCCCCCCCCCACCAGTCCCCCCGAGCACGCGGCGCGACCGTCCAATCGCGTGGCTGGAATTGCGTATCCGCGCTGGGAAATGTGCGGTGTGGGGGGTGGTGGCGTAGGGGGGGGTGGGTGGATACGAGGCTTCGTGTGTCGCTGGGGGGAGTCGCAGCAGCAGTGAGAGGAGGCGCAGCAGCAGCAGCGGGGAAGAAGCCGCGGCCGCCGCCGCCGAAGAGGAAAAAAAGGCCTCCCTCACCCCCCACCACCACCACCAGCACCTTCGTTGTGAAACATCGCAGCAGCAGCAACAGAGACGATTGTCGCCGTCGTTATATCGCAAAGGGGGGCCCGCGTCCTGCCCGAGTAGCGTGGGGGTGTTTTTTGAGTGAGTATCGCCGAGGAAAACGGGGGGGGGGGGGGCCCGCTGTTGAGATTCGAGAGGCCGAACTGAACGCCGCTTTGAAATGGTGACGCAGTGCAGCCCCCCCTGAGGCCCCAGCAGAGCAGGGCCCGCGGAACTAGCAAAGGCAGAACCACAGCCGAGCTTGACAACACGCGCGCCCTCCCGTGTGCTGTTACAAATCGGCGTGTGTTTCTTTGTAGGTCGACTCAGCCTTGTAGGTCGACTCAGCCTTAAATGAGTACCTGGTGCGGTGTGTAGTAAACATCGACCACTGGGGGAGACAAAGGCGGTCGGGCGTGGTGCTGGCCACCCACCCCCCTCGTGTACCTTCATAGGTGCTCGCTAACAGCACTTGCCTCTACAGTCTGTTAAGGCTATACGGGGGATCTTTGTCTTTGTACAGTGTACCGTATGTGTTCATTGTGTGTCATAGCTGTTGTATAATGATGATGTGTGTTGTACGGATTTATTTGGGTTGACGCGCGAGTGAAATGTGTCCCCGTCATGAGCGACACGGCGTGGTGAAGTATGGTCAAACGACCCCCCCCCCTTCCTTCCTTTCAATAGAATTAACAAAGATCTCGTAACAGTGTATTTTAACGTGTGTACAGTGTGGTTTTTGTCGTGTATTTACAGCTTGGGTGTAGGTAGGTATGCGTGCGTATGTTGGTGTGTATGTTTTATACTGTACGCATGTTGCCGTATGCTTGTATCTGCGTGTGTCTATAAGCCCCGATGGCTTACAGATGGCGCCGGAGTGCACCTAGCCTGGCACAGTCTCCACGTTGACATCACCGCCGCCTGTGTACACGTGTGTGTACTGCCAAGCAGCGGTAGTGTAGTGGTCAGCGCTACGAACCTGGTTCGATTCCCGTTCACGGTCAAACATCCAGTGACGATTATGGGCCTCCTCCCTAGGTCGACTCAGCCTTAGATGAGTACCTGGTGAGGTATGTTAACATCGCCACTAGGGAGACAAAGGCGGTCGGGCGTGGTGTTGGCCACCCACCCCCTCGTGTACCGTGCCGGCCTTCATAGGTGCTTGCTAACAGCACTTGCCCCTACAGTCTGTTAGGCTGTACGGGGGATCTTTGTCTTTATACTGCCAAGGAGCGGTGGTGCAGCGGTCAGCGCACTTCGATTCACGCTCACGGCCACCATCACCCAATGACGATTATCTGCACCGGTCCTGGGCCCTCCCCTAGGTCGACTTAGCCTTCAATGAGTGCGGTGTGTAAAACATCGTCACTGGGAGAGACAAAGGCGGTCGGGCGTGGCCACCCCACCCACCTTGTGTGCCCTGCTGGCCTTCATAGGTGCTATTCGCAAACAGCACTTGCTCCTACAGTATGTTAAGGCTACACGGGAGATCTTTGTGCTGTATCTGTCTGCCCCGATGGCCTTTTCTGTGATTTGCCTCCGAGCCTTCGGCCCTCTGCGTGGCGGCGCCAGAGTGCACCTAGCCTGGCACACAGCCTCTGCGTTGACGTTTGTAAATGTGTGTGTGTACTGCCAAGGACCCAACCTAACGTAAGGTGACTGAACAATAGTATATTTTGGTAATGTTTTAAAATTGGAGGCATACAAGACGCTGGAGGGGGGGAGCGCATTTAAAAGAATGTTTATCACGCAGCATTGCTGCACACATGCTTACAGTACTGTGTGTATGGAACCTAAAACGCCTTCCTGCTAAAGTGAGCTTGGGACGGTGCTTTTCTCCATGGTCCATCGTTTCCACCGTCCATCGGTGGAAACTCCACGTTCCCATGGCGGGAGCCAGCGGGTCATTTGGAAGGCTACTATTGACCCCTCTGACAACGCGGTTACGCATGTTTTGTTTTTAACCAGGGGGATGATGGGCTCGGTCAATCCCCAGATGGGGATTTGAACTTGACAACCTTCCGAATTGTGAGTTCTAACCACAGCGCCACTTGACTAATTCACAGTACTTGCCACGCTACGGCTATGCCCAAGACCGTTTCAGTTAAACACGTCCACTGTCACTCTTACTTTGCCACATAAGGGGTTGGGGGTGGCATAAGATCTGTGGTGATACTGGTGCTGACGTTTGGGTTTTCACGGTTTTCTCAAACAAAGGGGCAAGCGTCCAAAAAGGACCAAGCAAGAGCCGAAGAGGTCGGGGTGACGTGTGGCTACTTTTTCAGCCGTGCCACTTGGCGTGTTATGCAGCTGCCGATGGAGATGATCTACCTGCGTCACATGAAGCGTTGTTGACCCTTTGTATTGTGGTGGTGATCGTGATGGAGGTTGTTAATGGTGTGGCAATTGCATGTTATTGACGGACGCTCTGTTGAGGTGCAAATGTCCGCGTGTTTGTTTGAGTGGTCATTTAATTGCAGTCGAAATGTGAGCTTTACGGTTTGTAATGAGGTTATGCATTATGTAATGTGGCCCTGGGTTGATATAAAGCCTTTGCATCATTTTCTGTTGCTATTAAAAGCAGTGAGGAATGAATGTGCCTAAACACACTGTAAATATTGTTTACAAGCCTTGCTTGTCTTCTCTTTAATCATAATGCATACACGTGACTGTCTTTTACAATAATATGCCGTTGGTTAATCTCTTGGATGCTGTGTGTCTTTTTTTCTAGGCCACTGGTGGGTCCTTGCCTTGGTCATTCTGGAGAATATTCATAGAATATACAGGACCTTCAATCGACTGGTGACCATTCCGTGCGCGCGCACACATTCACTTAGTGTTGTGTGAAGAACTTGGCACTGCAGTTCATGTTCAGTGTCATTGTTATACCCATAAGCATTTAACGAAACCAAGCAGTTTCTTGAATTCGATTAGCATGGTTGGCTACGTGCGGTGCGAGACAAGTTCAACATACAAGTGTATCAGGTCACTGAAAATGCATACTGCAGCTGCTGTCAGTACCCGAAAATAAACATCAATATTAAGATAAATCATTGACCTCTTATAATAGCAATGATACTATTTCTCCCACATTTTACTAATCGAAAAAGTGCTTTTGAGTTTAGGGGAATATTTCTTACTATAAATCACAACAATATAAATGTAGTTGTTCGTCTGAATACCAGAGTGGTCAGTATGTTCACCTTTGTCAGCTTGTACAGAGGCAGATGCCTAATGCATTATTTGGGACATTACCAGAGCCAAGAGTCTGCTATAAACTGGACATTACAAACTTTGACATTCATTTATAATTGCACAAATTGCACATTTCACATCGTCGTGCATAAAACCTAATTGACCACGATGTGAATCATATAGCCATTGTTTTTTCAAGGAAAAGAAACATAACTTGGAAAATGGAAATGGTGAAGTAAAGGGCATAAAACTTGTACGAATGTAAATGTCCCCATAAATGACACTGAAACCGGTGTACACACAGTGGGAACACGGAACAGGCAAATCTAAAATGTTTAAGACAAACAACATAGCATAATTTAACCAATAATGTACGTGTAAATAATTAAGGATGCAGTGTATTAGAACAGAAAATGTTGCATTTGTACCTTTACCAGTTGAACCTTGAGAGGAATTACCATCATTATTTAAGCATCTTACCAAAGGGTAAATAAAACTGTAATCTAAAATGCACCGTTTATGATGTTTCCATGTTAAACATTGAACTTTTGGTGTGTTGTCAATGACAGGTGCACGAGTTAGTAGGTATTTTATTGCAAATAATAAAGTAAGTTATTGTGTCACAGACCTTAACCGTGAGTAGGAACATTGAATAATGTCAATGACATGTGTCTGCAGGATATTTGTAACGAATTAACCTTTTGGATTCCTTAACAGAATTTACGTGAAGACCTTGATGGGCAAAGCGATAGTTCCATAAGTAAGTTTTTCCATCTTCTTATCATGAATTCATAGTTATGAATATTCGTATTAATGGGATTTCAAAAACGTGCCTTTATTAGGTCCACACACTTAAACATTTCACGGCTATAAAAGCAATTATAAAGTCGTGGATCCTTTGGTAATACTGTAGAATTGTTAAGTTATTTACTCACTGACCCTGTTGGCATTCCTCAGCCATTGGTGGAAATCAAGTGTCACAGTGACAGGGAGCAGTCTATAAGGTCCTCTCCATTACTGACTTCCCACAACGTATTACTCGTTTTGTTCATCTCAGAGAGATTGGGGGCTGAGTTGACCCTTGACCAGGATTTGATCTCTCCACCCTATTGTAAGCCACTTGTTTCTGCCTCGCGTTACTACCCATGTGTTTTTTTTTGCGAGTGTTACAAACAGGAAAAAAACGAGGCATTCTGTAACATTCATTTATTATTTTTAAAAAATGACACTAAATGGAGAATGACGATGGTAATCACGTGCAAGAGCTTTTTTTTTCTCTCCGTTTTTTTGCCACTAGATGGCAGATAGCTAGTGGTGCCCTTGCGCGACTGCACATTGGAAGGACAACAATCTTTTTTTCCTTTTTTTCCTTTTTTTTGTCTGTTGAGCGTGTAAAGACGTTTCAAATGTATTGAAGAATGAAGCTGCAACATGGTGCGACGGCTGCACGAATCGTGGCATCGTTTGCAAATGGTGTTATGGCTGCACATTGAGACATGTTTGGCCTTACATTAGAAAAATGGCCAATAAAGCACAACAAATGTGAATCCTTTATTTCATGGTATGCATACCTGTCAACCCATACGGTTTACCCGTATTTTTGTACAGGGAAATTGAGTTTTCAGGTCCATATGGCATACAGCAATTCAATACGGGATAAAACATGTTTTGTCTATTGTTTGTGTTACGCCCTTGTGATGGGACTTTGTAGGATGAACGTTGATATATATAAGGGCACGAGGTGACCAATAAGGTCTGAATTGGTCTGTAATAAGGTAGGCACTGATAAGGGGTTGACAGGTATGGGTATGATTTTAACATTGTTGCCACCCTACAGTCACACTCGCAACCCATATGTAAATGGTGCCATTATTTTTTGCTACATTTCGCTTATTCTTTCAGGTCATATACAAATGACAGCATGCTGCTGTTCTAATCTGCAGTTGTATAAGGCCACCACCATCTTGGTTTACACGATTCATCTATCAAAATCTGGAGAGAAAAAAATATTGCACAAAGTACCAGTGTCATGCCACATCACTGTAAAGGCCTTGGATACAATATAGGTAAGCGTCTCGTATTAAAACGACTGCGTACTTTCATAAGTGTATTACGTATTTAAAAAAAATTATCTAGCAAGGTGACACTGGTTAGGGCACTAAAACACAATTTTAAAGTTATGAGTTTAAATCCCCAGCAATGGTTAACTTAGCCCATAATCTCTCTGCGGTTAATAACTATAGATAAACTTTTTGGGAAGTCAACAGCTCATCCTTAAGCCATGCAAACTCACCTGGCATGGAGAATGTGGAATCTCCACCACAGATTTAGAATCATCAAAGGAACATTACCCCTTTGATTTGAGCATTGCTCTGATTTTAGTCGGGAGGCATTTGACTTGGCAAGATAAAATTTTGGTTCGCAAGTTAATAGAATGACCTTTGTAGTAATAGGTTTTTACCCTTTCATCTGGTACAAAAACTGACACCTTTATACAAGGGGTCATGTTTGCAATAACCACAACACAAGCAGTCAAAATGCAAACAAAAAGAAACAACTCTGATAATGATATGCACTGTCCTTGAAGTTGATTGGTCCACACCTGGAGACAGCTTTTCTTAGAGCCTAGTCTCCATTGGTGTTGGACCAGATGACGCCAAAAGGCGTACAACTCAAAAACAGCGCACTATCAGAGTATTGAGAGCTCGGGGTAAGCATTTACACTGATACCTCCTTTACCAGTAGCAAAATATAGTAATAGGTTTTTACCCTTTCATCTGTATTCCCCGTGACGTTCTGTCTAGTTAACAATGATAGGGTTATGCCTCCAGGTTTGTCTGAATTCCCTGTGAAGTTCTGTTGGCACCCGTGTGGAACGCAGTTGCGGAGGTGTCCTGCGGCTGTGCGTCCTGCCACTGTACTCACAACATGCCCGTCAAGAAGAAGAGGAGGTCCCCTTGCTCTGAGGAGGTCACAATCAAGCGCTCTAAGAGAGACGGGTGCGTGCAAAGTTTTTAGCAATGTAACTTGCCTCGAAGTTATTAACCCTAGCCGTAGGCATACCTGCAATGATATCTTCATGAGCCCAATTCCTTGTAGAGTTTTCACATTTTTCAAAAATTCTGCCGTGAGCTGAAAGTTCCAGTAAAGGGATTTCTCCCTCTTTCATCAAGCAGTTTTTTTAATTAGATTTTCCAAGGAGCATAAGCCATCATGCGAACTCCGGTCATCTTCGCAGCGGCTTTTGGCTTGCCATCGAACAAAGACGGTCACTGCATCGCGCGCTTTCAGATGCGCTTCTGTGGCCGTCTGGAACGCTCTTCCTTCCAATATTAGGAAGCCACTGGAGCTATGCACTTTTAAATCTAGATTGAAAACTAATTTCATTATAACTGCTTTTCGTGTTTAGATGTCCTTCCCCGCACCTCAAATTAGCATGGTTGGCTAAGTACGGTGCCAAAGATGTTCAACATACAAACCCCATTCCACAAAAAATCCATAGCGATCGAGTAGCCAGGGGAGTGCCAATGGGAAGCAGCTTTGTTTCATGCTGACATCAGCACACTTAGCCCACTGATGGACCAAGATGACCAATCAGGAACCGTCTATCACAAGCATGAATACACACAAACGCTCTGAATGTAGCTTTAAGGCATAGCGTATCGCTACAAAGGAGCAATGATGATGACGTGGAAGGCGATAGTGATGTTGATGGTGATAATAGAGGAGCAGTCATTTATGCGCTGCGCTCCGAACCACCCAGCAACTTAAGTTTGATTACCAACCATGACGTAACATCAGTGGCGATCGGATTTGGAACCTGTTTTGAGTGTCTCCTAGGCTTAATGGGAGTTTCGCATGACACCTGCAATATTTCACTCTGGAGGCATGGGTTGGTGGTTTATGTTGAGATTTATTAAGTTACCAAACCTGACTATTTCTAGGAAAATGTAGTACAGAAATGGATTATTGAATCAACCTGTTTAGTCATTTGGGTGGTATCCCATTGTAATATCTGTTTAATCTGGGTACTCCAGTTTGCAGAAATCTGACCAATAGTAAACATTACAGAACCATTGCACTCATGAGGCACATGGGGAAGATACTAATGCTAATACTATTAAATCTATGAAAAGCGCAGACTGAGGATTATTTGCCACATGAACAGGTAGGCTTTAGGAAAGATAGGAACACAGAACAGCATGTCTTGATTTTAAGGTTTATAGCAGAGAAAGCAAAGCGAAATCATTGGCTGGTTTACAACTGTTTAATAGATTTCCAGAAAGCATTTGATTCGACTAAGCAATATATAAATTTGCCAATATTAAGATCATATGGAGTAGGAATAAGATTGACACATATTCTGCAGGATATAGGTGAAAGGTCAAAGTCAGCAGTAAAGTTTTGACAGGAAAGAGAAGTGGCTCCCTTTAACATATCGGTATGAGACCAGAGATTCACTATCACCAAGCAACTTTGTCACATACTTGGAAAGAGTGATGGATGCCATTCAGGACAACGGCACAGGAATATCTGTGCAAGGAGAAAGAATAAATAACCTGAGATTCACGTACGACATAGATCTAATGGAAGCAAGTTGCGTAGTACTGCAGGGAAGTGTTCATACGCTGAATAAGTCAGAAATGGATGCAGGACTGAGGATGAATGTGGACAAGACAAAGACGGTGTTCGAAAGGGATGACATTGAGAGAGAAGTAATAATAGAAAGCAACATTGTGAATTTAAAGGAATTTGCATACTTGGAAAGTCTACTGACATGGGACAACGACTACACGAAAGATATAAGTAGCGAGGATCGCAAAAGCAAAGTGAGTAATGGTAGGATTCGATCACATCTGGAGAAGCAGGCAAATCGGCTACAAGACCAAACATGCGTGTTCAGTACAGCTTTGTGTGCCTTCTCGATTTGGACATTGAAAAAGACTGACAGAGATAAGACATTGGCACTAGAAATGTATTGCTACAAAAGGATACTGTATCTTAGCTGGACTCAAAGAGTGACCAATGTAGAAGCATGAAAACGGTTGCACACAATAAGACCTGATACAGGCAGTGATGAGAAGGAAACTGGCATTATTCGGACACATTAGGGATGGATAACAGGAAAATTAAAAGTGTGTTGTTCAGAAAAATGGAAAGAATTGGAAACAAATGAAGACCTAACAGAGAATGGGTTGACGACATATGTGTATGGTGCCAGAAAGACGTGCACTAATTGAGCATATTGGCACAAAACATGAAAGCGGAAACAAATTATGAAATATCCAGTGGACACCTACGGGCTTTCTGCCCATGGATCTTGATGATGATCACTCCAGTTTTCTCCCACATGACAATTATTGTTGACAGTGAGTCTTCACAGTTATTGTCACTTCCCGGGAACACTGCCTTTGCATCCTCTTCATATTGGTCATAGTCGTTATCAGCAGCAGAAGCAAACTCAGCAGTACTGTAATGGTCAAAGCAACATCATTGCCTTAATTTTCTACATTTGTTTGGAGTTTGCATGATCTCCCCATGGCCGTGTGGATTTTTGTCCGGGTCCTCTGGTTTTACCCTCCACATTTGGAATCAACATCATGCGTTCAGAGTATTTGGCTGCGATAAACTTCCACGTGATAAGCCACTTTTTTAAACTATCATTTGTGGCTAGGTTTCTGAAATATAACTATATAGCTCATTGGGCCTTACCTGGTAAAATAAAAAAAATAGTTTTTATAGTTGAAATTGTCAGTATTGATTTTCGTCATTGACTTTATTATCGTCAATCATATTTTTTATCTCGGTTAATCTTCACGTGCCTGTCAGATTTATCTTTACCGCACGATTGGAAAAATGTACAAATATACAAATGATTTGTAGAATTGAGGCACCAAACAGGCGCGTACATTTTTGAGGAATGGCGCCGTACCTTCACTTTCCCACACAATCCACGCCTCCGAATGGTGTTTAACGCGATTTCATTTTGCATCGTTGTGGAAACTTTTCGCTGTCATTGGGCTGCGCCCACTTTTGGCCATTCCACAGGTTTGGGTGCATTTTTCGTCACGTGGAATCAGCTGCACTTGAATTGCAAAAATGTTCTAAGTTTGAACAACTTTCCCTAGTTTTGCACAAAACATTTTTAAAAAGACATTGTTCTGCCTTAAAGTGGATGAATGAGATCAAAAGTTACTACATGAATTGAGTCAGAAATCTTGGTCTGGTCTGAATCATTCAATCCATCTAGGCTGAAACTGTGAAGTGTAAAATGTACTCTAACCTATCCTTAGCATAAATACTGTGTATTATTAGTCTGTTAACATTGTGAACTAAATTTAAATTAACAGTACACCTTCATTAAAGTTAAACATGATCCAAATGTGTTCCCTCAATGCCTCGACTATGAAGTTAACATTATTATAGCTGGCACATTTTCCTTAACCTGAATGAAACCGAGACCTCGTCATAAGTCGTATGCTAAATCTTAAAGGATTTATCTCTAATGTAACAGTATCTGGCGCTTAATCCAAGCCTAAAACAATCTTTAAAGTATTCTTGTCCTTTGGCCTGGCACTTAACCAAATGAGATAAGAAGCCGCCTATTGAAAGCAATCATATTAACAGCACCAGCCTTACTTAGTATTCCTCAGACTGAAGAATTTAACCCTTGACAACTGTCAACATAATTTTTATTACGCCACACGAATTGCACATGGAGTTACCAATCGTGCTTTCTTTGAGGCTTATAAACAGAGAGGACGCTCACCGCTCGCTTTTAGGAATGAAGACAAGAACACAGAAGCAGGAATTTCAAGTGCCCGTTCCAAATTATGGCCTGATGGATAGGAGCCAGGTGCAATCCAAGGGACATGGTTCAAGCATAGTACTCTCTCTCCTGCGCTATATATACTCGCGTACTCCCATGAATAGGCAATCCAAGTGTATGCTAGCTGGTTCCTTTGGCTCGGTGTTCAGCGGTCTCTCGTTACATCAGCTATTGCGCACATCATCGGCTAAAGCTAGCATGCGTTGGGATAACAAGCCATGTTGTGAAAAAGTGATATTTGCGTGCCATTTAGCATCGATTGTGCCTGTGTGTTTGCACTCCAGCTCCGTGAGGGTACAGCCTTGCAGTACTATGAAAAACGAAGACTCCTTCACCAACAAAAGGTGTTTAACCTGGTTTAGTGAATACACAGGTGAGTGCTCATGGGAATACATTTTAGCAACTGATGGTGGGAAAATGTGTGAAAATATACAACACTGGTCACTGGAAACTTCCTTCAGATGTTGTTAATGGTGTTAGGTTTGATATGTATTTAATGTTTCGATTTAAAGCTTTTGTGACTGCAGGGATTCATCTTCATGGTTCTTTCGGTAAAGCCACGTAGAAGGGAAATAATAAAATAATAAAAATAAAACATAATAAAATACAATTCTCACGACGTTTCGGCCACAACGCAAGCAGCCGTCCTCAGGTGAAGAACAGGTCTGTCTTTCCGTCCTCAGGTGAAGAACAGGTCTGTCTTTCCGACAGACCTGTTCTTCACCTGAGGACGGCTGCTTGCGTTGTGGCCGAAACGTCGTGAGAATTGTATTTTATTACGTTTATTTTTTGTATTATTTTATTATTTCACTTCTACGTGACTTTACCGAAACAACCAAGAAGATGTATTTCATGTTTTTAAAATATTTTTTTTATCTTAACACCCAGGGCCAGGTTGTGTGCGGTGGTTACAGTACCCGTCTTAGATTTGGAAGAGTTGCAAGTTGCCTCTTAAGACAATTCGATGAATAATGCTTTGTGGACAGTCAGTAGTGGCCATCTTGTGGATAAAATGGTGTGCACCTTAGATGGAATTTCCTACCATGTATCACGAGGATCAATGGTTTGAGCGTGTACAGTGATTGTAGCAAGCAGCGACAGCCATGCCTCACTAGAACGAACACTGTCTTTTAAAAGAAGGGGAGCTCTAAAATATAAATAACTCTTGTAATAAAGTACCCAGGGGTATTTAGCTATGGTTGTCCCAACACAAGGTTGAAGCCTCATTTCTGAGAACCGACTTTTAAATTATGGTCATGCATGCTGCCATAGTGTGCTCTAATGACGTTACTGCAATGACATGTAACATATTGGAGTGACTGCATCCTAACATTACTATAGTGCCACAAAGATGCACCCTGACCATGATTTTAGTCTTATTTCTCACGAGTACATTTTCACACACATGGTAGTCAGCCCAGATCTGTCTCCAAGATATGATGCATTTACTTTTTGGCGTTTCATCTAGTTTTAAACCATCAATCATCCATAATGTACTATTGGCCGTGAATGGCATTCATTAGGCATCAGCCCTGCTGTCTTTTGGCTTCCCCCACTGTAAAATGTCTGCAGAACTTCATGACATAGTTGACATCATCGCCATATTCTTGTCAACGTAATATTGTTACGTTTTCATTTATTTTACTTTGTATTGGCATGTGCTGTGGATTATCTAGCTTGAGGTTTTTTTTATATATTTTTTTAGAGCCATATGTGTTACATTTTGTACGGGTGTGAATATGAATGGAGGTAAGCGATGGCCTGTGATTTCTGTTTTGCAGGAAATGATGATGTTATTGGTCCAGAAGGAATGGAGAAGTTCTGTGAAGACATTGGCGTGGAACCTGAAAATGTATGCCAGTCATATAAATTTTCATTATTTATCAAAATATATTATAAATCATTACGAATGTTTATTTATACGTAGCTGTGCACATTCATTGAAGGATTTAGTGCACATTTGGTAATAATTCTACCGATTTCAGGGCACGTTGCTATATTTCCAAAACATATAATTCTGTCTTTCAATGGTTGGCACTTAACCAACATTATTTGGACATATAATCTATTTATAATTTGACCAGTACATTTCATAAGCAGTTCTGCCTGTCAATGATTTATAATGAGATTTTCACGAATGTTTTAGGCTTGTCTTTATGTATATACTCTGCTGTAGGCAGCACATATACATTTATTACTGTTCATTTGTACTACTTTTAGAAAAAAGTTTACTGGCTGGAATCTTAATTGGACTTATGTCTGCCTGCCTGGCGTATGTCCAAGTGCGATGTGGTGACGTCACCTCGCATATCTGCGTGGTGACGTCACCCGCATCCCACAGCTTTGAGCAGAGTTTGTGGGTTCGTGTGCGGCACTAATGGCATGCCCGCCCCTTTCACCCACCCTCTACCCCAGCCATGTATCCCGTGCAACTACTATAGAGGAGTTTCGATTTAAAGCTTTCGTGACTGCAGGGATTCATCTTCTTGGTTCTTTCGGTAAAGTCACGTAGAAGGGAAGTAATAAAATAATAAAAATAAAACATAATAAAATAATTCTCACGACGTTTCGGCCACAACGCAAGCAGCCGTCCGCTGTCGCCTCGACAGACCTGGTTTTCACCTGAGGACGGCTGCTTGCGTTGTGGCCGAAACGCCGTGAGAATTATTTTATTATGTTTTATTTTTATTATTTTATTACTTCCCTTCTACGTGACTTTACCGAAAGAACCAAGAAGATACTATAGAGGAGATCAAGGCGGGAGGTTCTATTCTATTTTTGCATACAATGGCAATATGTTCAGGAGCTAAATGCCAATGTCGAGGCATGCTTAACACGAGAGGGCTTCAGAAGAGAGTTTGTATAAATTTATCCATTTACCTTTGAACAAGCGCAGACTACAGTGGTTTTTGGCCACAGTAGCACTGGCTCGTCTTACATTTTTCATTTATGAAGTAGATGTGAGCAGCGACCTGTTGATGTTCTGACACTGATGACCAGTGCGTTCAAGGAGGAATGGCAAAGTAAGGAGGTGCGATGTTTGGGTCTCAAAGGATATGTTTGTTCTGGACGTCCGCGTTCCACTATCTTTTACCGCTGCCTTCTCGCTGCCCGTCTGTTAGCTATTTTCGTGTTATCTTAAACACAGCTAATATGGTCGTATCGGTGAAATGGACGTCATTAATTTGAAACCAGATATGATCAATAGGAGGGATGAGAGGCAGGAAGAGATGAAGAGGAGGGGCGGGGAGAGAGTGGAAAGGGCGTGAAACGAAGAGAGCAAAATGGAAAGAGCGCAAAGGAAAGTGACGAGCAGCGAGAGGGAGGATCAGGGAGAGGCAAGAGAGATTGAGATGAGGAAAGGGAGACGTGGGAATAAGCAGAGTGAGGATGAGAGGTGAGAAAAACAAGTGGGTAAGATACATAATAATTGAATATGACGTTTAGATTGCAACACAAGCAACCACCATCGTGTACAAATGAATGAGAAAACAAACAGTAAATTTGGAAATATAATGCAATACAACAGAGTCTGCCAACACAACAGTCAACACCCCACCTGGTTGATTACGTTCTTCCAAAGATTGCTAAATTTTAGAGAGAGACAAAACCTATACACGGAGACACACAGACAGACACACAAGCAGAGAGACTCACAGATAGACAAAGGCCTCGACACAGAGACGTTGTCTTTCTGTGTGCCTATGTGTGTCTCTCTGTGTGAGTCTCTGCTTGTGTGTCTGTCTGTGTCTCCGTGTCTATGTTTTGTCTCTCAAATTTAGCAATCTTTGGAAGAACGTAATCAACCAGGTGGGGGGTGTTGACTGTTGTGTTGGCCGACTCTCTGTGTTGTATTGCAATTTATTTCCAAGTTTACTATGTTTGTTTTCTCATTCATTTGTACCTGATGATGGTTGCTTGTGTTGCAATCGAAACGTCGTATTCTATTATTATTTTATTTTATTCTACGTGACTTGACCGAAAGAACCAAAGAGTAATTCCTGTAGTCACGAAAGCTTCGAATCTAGTTTGGGTAAGATACAGTGAAGGGAGGGAGAGCTTTTTCTATTTTTATTGAAGTTGGAGGGGTCATCAGCCCCTTGCACCCATCCAGAGCCCCCGTTAGCCATTGTGGCAGCTGCTAGCAGGGCATGAGGGGCACAGCTGATTGCTATCAGCCTCTCCCCCAATGGCATTGCTCACAGCACACAGTGTAAACAACTGGCAACCACCGAGGAGGTGAGGGTTTTGCCAGTCAACATCTGTGCTAGTTTTAAACATTCGGCCTGCCCTGCCTACGATCGATCCTGGGTTTAATCAGTTTAGATTGTATGAGGAACTCGCAGATCCTTGAAAGATCTGGACACTGTCCCATCGGTGAGCTTCCCTGGCAGGTGAGGCTACGTTGGTTGGGTTATGTATCTTGCATGCCCAAGCAACCTCTGTTTGAGTAGATAGAGAGGACTAAACAGGCATAGCCCAGGCTAGAGAAGAGATAGGCTGCTGTGGTACAGGAGGATGTGGAGCTGAGTGGACTTGCCGATGACTGATACCAGTGGTGTCAAGATCGGCCTCTGTGGAGGAGACTCGTGAAGGACACTGCTGGGAAGTTGGAGGAAATCGTCCTCCAACAACACACAATGGAGAGCAGAGGAGCGATGCTCACAACAATGAAAGGAGCACCGGGTGGATAAAATCCAGCAAGTTGGCACAGTAGGAAGCACAGGTGGTGCATCTGTCAGTCATCTGACATGTCGGTGTGTCCCGTGAACTGACCTCCAGTCAGCGAGCCTTTGACATTTAACCTGGCCTCGAAGTGCACGTAGCTTGGCACAAGCACTGGTGATGTCACCGCCACTTAGTGGTAAATGGCGACTGTTGGAGAAGAGTAATGTAGAGGGAGGGAGAGGTGGAGGAGGGTGGACAGAGAAATAGAGAAACAGACAGAAGCAGACAGTGGGAAATCGACAAAAATGGATATACAACACAGAAGGCAACATAAAGGTGGAGAGAAACAGGACTCTGTATAAGATTAGAAGTTTGCTGGCTGGCTGGGATGGACGGTCACTTCCAAATTACGTGCGATTTGCTCGTTGTCTTAAACTACACCACATGAGTAAATTGACAAAATAGCAAACTTGTAAATACTGGGCCTTGGTTTTATACTTTTGCAATATGACAGCTGACTTGACCAAATGTTTCTTTCCATAACAAAACGTGAGATTGTATGTTGTTCATCACTGTCTTGACTATTTAGCCTTCATATGCCTCCGATTAGTACGGTTGGCTACGTACACGTTCCACATACTTTAAGACACGAAAATATTAATTCAGTGGTGCAGCATGGCCTTCAGCCCTTAGTTCATGACATCAAAAACTCTCTATAACATTTGTAACCCTTGGGCAATACTATGCGCTTTCTACCATTGCTTTCAAATGCATGCTTTGTAACTTAATTAAACAATTTAGAGCTAATTGAGATTACATCTCTATGACAGAGGATACTTCATAGCCATCTGTATACCTATACATTCATGTACAGATGGATACACAATGTTTGCATTGCATATACAGTCAACCCTTAATATCTGTGGGTTTTTTCATCGCGCTTGTGCGTATTCGCATCGAATTTATTGTCTCGCCCATTTCAAATTTGCTGGGTTGTATTTTAAATACTTGTGGCCATACCACGCTACTGCCTACGCGACAAGAGGTGGTGAGGCCGGGGGGGGGGGGGTGGTGTGGTTCGAGAGAGTTGCCCCCCACGCGACGCCGCTCCCCCTCTCAATCCGCATCTGTCCGCCACGCCTATTTATACGCGAGGAGCTTTCCTTGTACTACAGTAAAACCTTGGATTGCGAGTAACTTGGTCTGCGAGTGTTTAGCAAGACGAGCAAAAATTTTAAGTAAATATTAATTTGATAAACGAACGAGGTCTTGCAATACGAGTTGTACGTGTATACGCTTTGTCTGCCGAGCGTCACGTGATCACAACTGATATACGAGTGCTTTGGATTCCAAACACGTTTCCGGAACGAATTATGCTCGCAATCCAAGGTTTTACTATTTTTTTTGGAATTGCACCCCATGCAACGCCCACCTATTTATCCGTTGACATTTGCACATTTAAATATAATTATGGTCATTAGTAAAGGTACGTTTAATTTCACAATGCTGTACTATATATGTATAAGTTACTATGTACATACAGAGGATATGTTTAAACTTAATATACGGTTATGCCCCCTAACCTGATTTTCCTAATGAGATTTAAGTATAAGTACTCGCGGATTTAATATTCGCGCAGCTCTCCAGGACCCTATCCCCCCCCCCCCCCCCCCCCCCCCCCGCGTGAATATTAAGGGTTCGCTGTACTAATTGCTACTTCCGTTCGTGCAGATAATCATGCTTGTGTTGGCATGGAAGCTGGAGGCTCAGAACATGGGTTTCTTCACCCGGCAGGAGTGGCTGAAAGGCATGACCGCCCTGCAGTGAGTTATATGCACAATGGACTAATCGCACACATTTCTTTAGAACTGCTTTTTGTGTTTAGTTTGTTGTCCTTACCCCCCCCCGCACCTCCGATTAGCACGGTTGGCTACGTACGGCGCGAAATAAATTCAACGCACATGCAGAGATCCTTCATTAACTTTTAGAGCAATTGCCGTTTAGGAAAAGGGAGAGTGTCTCTCCTGGGGTGGTGCTCATCTCATTTGGCGGCACTCAGCCCGGGTGGTGGAAATTCCACATTCACATGGCAGGGGGAAATCTCTTAAATGGCGCTAATGTTAACATCCCACTATGTGGTGGCATACACGAGTGGTTTTAGTGGGCGGCTGTTAAGGTTAGCGCATCGTACAATTTGCTGTTGTGTGGACATCGTCATGTTTAACCTTGTCACATATGCCTTTGCAACTTTGATATTGATACACCATTCTTAGTGCTTCAGATACTAACGGACATTTATGTTGACGCGCAATAATCAAATCCACGTTGCTCAAATTGTAATATAATACAATAACCCCAGCAATACCTCTCCCAACACTGTAGCATACAGCCCAGGTGGCCTGGCCACCTCTGTTCTGTGAGGAGCGGTAGTGTAGTGGTCCGCGCACTGCGCTACGAATCTGGTGACCCGGTAGTGTAGCGGTTAGCGCTACGCTGCGCTACGAACCTGGCGACCCTGGTTTGAATCCCGCTCACGGCCAATACCAGTGACGATTATCTGAATCAGTGATGTGCCTCCCCTAGGTCGACTCCGCCTCAAATGAATACATGGTGTGGTGTGTAAACATCACAACTGAGGAGATAAAGGCGGTCGGGCATGGTGCTCGCCACCCATCCCCTCATGTGCCGTGCCGGCCTTCATAGGGGCTCGCTAACAGCACTTGCCCCAGCAGTCTGTTAAGGTGTTTCACCAGTGAGTCAGTAAGGTCGTTTTGTAAGTTGACCTTAAAGACCACATGTCAAAACGTGCAAGTGTAGGCAGTTGTGTTTGAGTTATGCATAAATTGTGAAGTTGAAATTTAACCATAACCAAATTATTTAAAAAAATTATTAGGCTCCCCTTTATGGCTACAGTTACCAAGAGTAGAGTATAGACATGACACACAATTGAATGTATGTGCCTAACATCTGGAACAAGCTCTCTTTGTAAGACAATATTATAATGATAGTAATTGCAACAATTTGGCCTCTTTGTAAATGCTTGGATGTTTTGTAATGGAAGTCCTCTTACCAATACGTCTGAATAAGGCATTGCTTAAGATTCCTTAATAATAGTAATAAATGGCCGACAGTGCGAGGTTGAACCTGGTGGGTAAGGGAGTAAAGTTAAGTGGTCAAGACATGATAAATGGTATCTACTCATGGCTGGGAACACAAAATGTTACAGCGTGAGTGGATTGTATTACACACACGTCGGGAACACTGCCTGCTTTTGTGGCATGAGCACCGTCGCGATGCACAGTCACGTTGGCTACGTCCCATACAACTACTATGTTTATCTACCGAAATAAGTTAACTGCTGTGGAGGCACTTCTAAGGGTGTTCAAATTGTAGGCGAGCATTTATGCGTGAGTGCATACATCAGGGATGGCCAACCTGTGTAACTAACAGCCAACACGTTCCCGTGAGTTCTGCAAAGAGCCAAGGGTATATATATATAAATGTTTATATATTTTTTTATAGTTTTCTGCGCAGCACGGGACACATTCATTTTTCTTTGCTCCTGTGATGGCGTGTTCTACATTATGCCGCTTTAGAGCCGCATGTGGTGGATTAAAGAACCGCATGCGGCTCGGGGAGACGCCAGTTGGCCACCGCTGGCAATACACGTCTTCCGCTCGACCCCACATTTACACATGGACTAGCGGGCAAGTGCTCTTAGCAAACAGCTATTAGGGCCAGCATGGTAAATGAAGAGAAGTTGTAGGGCTAGGACTGCTACATCTGGGCACATGTTGTATCCCCATTGATGTTGGTGACATCACGAGCTTAAGGACAACCTCGAAGAAACCAGTACAGGTGCAAATAATGTTGGGTGTTGTACATCATGGTCAGGAATTGGGTTTGAGTCATTTATAATTTGTAAGTACATCTAGAATATTCAAATTATTAAATGTGAAGATCACAGCTCTAAGTGGAGCACATGCTTCCATTTTTGTATAAGCAATACCAGCTTAAAAACATTTCCACAGCCATAATAGGAAGATACAATGCAAATTGATGCTGCAAAGCCCTCTTTCTGTCTGCTGTAGACATCCTATTGCATGTCAGGAACAGTGGAAATGAATGATAATTTGCTGAATGTGCAGGGATTTAGTTTCCGTTTGGTGCAGGTCATAAGTCAGACAAAGCCGAGCGCTTTCCAAGAACAACCAGTTGGTTTGTGTTTTGCTTGTTGTCATCCAACTCGTACAGTTGTTTACGTTCCGATGGCAGATGGGAAGGAAAAAAATCTATCGTGGCTACAAACACTGTTGACATGCGATGCATGAGAAGATGTGACTTGTGCTCAATAGTGACAGTACGCTAGACTCATTGTGTGGCGTTAGGTCTATCGCGCTTTGTCTGCTATCAGAGGCTTTTAATGCATTTGCGTCTTTAGTTTTGGCTCGTGTGTGTGTCCAAATCGAAGGACTTTAAGTGTTCCATTGTGTATCGGCAACACAAGAGTTTCCTTCTGGGTACAGCGGCATTGTAGAAAGACCATTCATTCATTGTTTTGAGCAAAAAAAATACTTTGACAAGTCTTGTACTCTACCCCTTGATATACTGGTAACTATACACAGTCTTGATGGAGAAAAACGTGGCGATAATGGCCAGTAGGTGTTGAGTGAGAGCCCAGTTATGTGTCGTTATACATTTATTGCATAATGTTACGATGATTGTACCTGAAATTAGACGCTGAGGTGGAAAGGCCTTGTTTATATTCCTACAAGTTTGTTAACTCTATGCATTCACAAATATTGTAATTCCACAATGGTACCGAGGTAAAATATATATATATAATTACATCTCTGGTCTTTGTACACCCTGTTAATGAGACAAAAAAATAAAAACTGGCTTTGGGTTTGCCTGCTGAAACACACGCTTGTGGAAAACGTATAATTTCAGTTAATTATTTGGTTGTGAAACTCACTTGTTTGTTCACGTTATTGGTGGTCATTGGTTGTTGCCGCAATGTGCCTTTGCCTTCCCTTAGGTGTGACAGCTCAGAAAAGCTGCAGGGAAAGTTTGAGTACCTGCGCTCACTTCTCAATGATCCCGTGTCCTTCAAGCAGATCTACAGATATGCCTTCGACTTCGCTAGGGTTTGTCTTGTCCCATGCGCTCCCTCGTCGTGATAGTGTAGCGGAGGCACTGATGATGGCAGCCCCTTTGAAAGGAATATTGTCAAAAGGGAGACGACCCTGTTGTTGAATTATTTCAGCCATTGGAATCTTTCGCATGCGAAAAACGATAATTAGTCTTTCGAAGTTTCCGTGTTGCCTGTATTTTATTTCGGAAAGCATGACCAATATTAAGGAGAGATTAGAGAGTTGATTATCACTTGTATCATTGAGCAAGGTAGTCATGACCTATGAAAATAAGGGCAATTGGAAATTAAATATTGAATTAAGGTTCCTGTGGGTTTACACTGAGGCACATACGAAGGTACCTCCCAGTGGTAAATTTGGCTGCGTCGTCCCAAGGGATTTGATTTGGGTTATGCTCCTGTTAGAGTATTGAGCTAATGTTTATAAGACCTTGGTTTCAAATTCCATTCAACTGGACAAAATAAAAATAAATCCTCCAGAATAGTGAGATGATGATTATGGTCCAATCAATATATATTTAGTTATTTTAAATATGTAATAATGTCCTTTCATGATTTGGCCCAGCCATTCTTTGAGGGATACATTTATTAAATGCATCAAAAGACGAGGCACGTGGCAAACCACTCTGTGACATGGTAAAGTGCCACCATTCTTAGCTTAAAAGAAGGTCTTTGACACTGGAATTAGTTTGATGGCTCATCCGGGGGCTTTCCCCAACATTACATGAGGTTATAACTTCTGTAGGGATTTCCAGAAGGATATAACATCAGTACATTCTGCCTCTTCTCCCACAACAACTTTGCAAATAAATAGTCCTGTGATTGTATAATACTTGAAGTCATTTATTGTGATGTTTCCTACAGGACAAAGATCAGCGAAGTTTGGACATTGACACAGCCAAGTCCATGTTGGCCCTGCTGCTGGGCAGAATTTGGCCTCTCTTCTCCTCTTTCCATCAGTTCCTGGAGGTGATCATCTCCCTGGTGGCACATCCCATAGGGGGAAGTTGGGCCTCTTCGATTAAAGGACGATTGGTGGCTTCATCGTGAATGGTTTTTCTTCAAGTGTTGGTTACCAGGCATTGCAATTTATAGTTCGGTTGGTAAAGCAGAAGGCCTATCGTAATTTGAATTCTGGCTAGGGATAACTCGGCCCATTGCCATAATTCCTCTGGGGTTGGTCAAATGTATGCGTGTTGAACTTCTTTCGCACCGTACGTGACCATCAAGTGGAGAGGCTGCTATACTTGGTAAGAAGGCAACAGAAATTGTGTTATGGACAAATGGGGATCTTGCATGTAAATGTGGAATTCTCACCTCTAGCTTGGGGAAGCATGGGCACACTTGAAGTTTGATATATGCTACCAGGTTTGTTAAACTTTCAGCCCCATGAGCCACATCTGACCTACCAAGAGTATTGGAGTGGCCTGCCGAGCTTTGGCCCACCAAGAGAGGGCTCTCTGTGACATCGATACAGATTAGCAAGACTAAAGTGAGATAAACAACAGAAATGAGAGAACTGGGGACAAGCGATGCAGATTAAACATCACAACCCCATGGTATATACACATGGCATGTTACGTGACATGTTCTTTCGAACTGTGCAGAGCCAGCCGTGCTAATCGCTAGCAATGAAGCTCTGGTTTGAACATACGAAAGAGAATGTTGTCATTTAAGTCCTGGTCAGAGGTTGATTCTGCCCCTCATCTCTCTGGAGTCAATAAAATTAGTATCACCGTGGGATGTATCCTTTGGTCGTCATGGGCAAAGACTGGCCCTCCATCCTCGGAAATGTCCACCACTTTGTTAGGACTGTAAACACACAAGCAGTACCACACAATCGTTTAAACAAGGAATCACTTTTTTTCTTTACACAGTACATGGCCTCGTTACATGAAGTTTAAATTTGTTTTTGTTTCCAGCAATCCAAATACAAAGTGATCAACAAGGATCAATGGTGCAATGTCCTGGAGTTCAGCCGGACTATTAATGCAGACCTCGGAAACTATGATGAAGACGGCGCATGTGAGTGTTCCTGCCATTCATACACAAACCTTACAAGAGAAAGATTAGAGCCAAACACAGTCTTGTTCCATTCAGCATATAGCCAGATGACATTATTTTTCCTTGGGATTATTTCAAAAGAATTGGGAGTTAAAGGAACTAAACCATGTTTTCTCCTATGCATGGTAGTAGTTTACTAACTTGGCCTCTAATTTAACTGGTGAAGCCCAATTGAGAATTATTAGTGGTCGGCTCAGCCCGTCAACCCTCTGGGCACAATTAAATTAGTACACCTTTGTTCTAACTCAACAGTGGTCACGATGTAGAAACCGCTCCCCCCCCCCCCCCCCCCCCCAGTATAGAATGATGGGATTTTCATCATTTGGATTTGGATGGCCACACAGGAGATGAGCTGAAGCCACAGACTCATTCAGAGCCGGGAGTGTCAAAAGATTGCATTGAATGTATGCAGTTTAAGTACTATATGTCTATGTAATCACTGATCTTAGCAGATATATTGTAAAAGTGCCTTGTGTATTGTGATCAACATAAGTACGATACAATGTATATGTGCGTGTCATTACTGATCCTAGCCACTCATACTTAATACCTAGTCAGGATTCACCTGACCCGGACCTGGCCTGGGTTTCCGCCAGGTTCACTCGGCCTAGATTAATACCTTGTTTGATGTGGTCAATATTAGCAACAGGGATACAAAGGCATCCAGACATGGTGCTGTGTACTTTTGTACTAGTATCAAATTGGGCATTTGACTGTTTTATTTTTAAATTGATTGACACTGAGGTTAGAGCATCTGTCTCAAATATCAGAAGGTTGCAGACCTAAATCTAGGGTCAGGGTTCAGCTGCACGGCCAATTTAAATGAGTTCTGCTTTGCTTGAACCGGAGAGAGCGACGCGTGGACTGTGACCTGACCGCGTTTACGACGCTGCCTCTCTGCTGTGATGATCAGGGCCAGTTCTCCTGGACGAGTTTGTAGATTGGCAGAAGCGAAAGCAGCCTTCGTAGGCAGCGTGAAGCCAATCGCAGCCTCGTCCCCAGCTCCTTCTCCCAACATCGGCGTCCCCCACCTCCAGGAGCCAAACGCGTCACTTAAATGGAAATACTTCAGCCATACACCTCAGCAGTTTGTTTAACGCATGCGGAGCACACACACAAGTTATACAGAGCTCAGAGACTTGAAAATTCAACGTGAGTGATCGCTATTTAGTCCTTACATCCGCCTCCTGCTGACCCACCCACTCGCGTACGCACACACTGTTGTGATCGCCTTGTGCAGTACACATTGTATTGTATTTCAGCATTGTATGCATTTCAACAGACCCTGAGCATTGCTTGTATATATGACCGGTTTGTTTTGTACTGGAGTCTGGCAAATGTTTTATCATTTGCAAGCAACTCACAAAACGGCTGTATACCTGTGACAAAAGAAAACATTTTCGAAATGATAATAAAACAGTAGTAATTAATGACTGGCAACATGCTTTTTGCAGCGTATTTGTTTTTCATTCATCCTGAACCATTATTTAGCAGTACAGTATTGACATTGAACACACTTTAGTGCTGTATGGACAATTATGAATTAATGCAATGACTAATTGTTGAGAGGAGCACACAAAACTTGAGGATTTTAGGTTTGTGGATTATTATTAAAGCTACGTGTTAAATACTTCATCAGAACTTGAAGAAGAGAAAAAATAAATGCCTCTTTTTTTTTAAGAAAATGGCATTGCAAGAAAAAAATCATTTTTCATCGCATTTTTTTGAAATTCGTGTTTATTAGTGATTTTGGGAGGGGGGGTGGGTTACGTTGGTGTTTGGAGCCATGCTTAAAACGTCTTGTACAGATTATGTCCACGGATTTACTTGTGGCCGTTTGTCGACTGTTGACGCAAAATAACATTTTTATTCTTTGACAAGTTCCTCAAGTCTGCAGTGTTCCTCTTGTTTATATATGTTTAGCCAAAAAAATGTTTAAAAGTGCAAATGTGGGAGAATGTGACACTTTTCTTCAATACTTTAGACAGTTTCGTGTTCATAGGCTCGATGGCAAAGTTGCCAAGGCTTTGTAAACCACAACGTTGGCAATCTCTAACATCAAGAAATAAATAAATTGTATAAAATGTGCTCTGTTATTGGATGTGTTTATGTTCACCGGTACTGAACTCTAGATATGAGCCATTCTCTAAAGTCGTGTTGTATATTTGTTCATGAGCAACAAAACATTAACAACAGTGTTAATACTTTTTTTAAAAATACTATTAAAGAGTGGTGTAAATAAAAACCCCACCATAATCTTTCGTGAAAACACTGATGGAAAGTTTTTGTAAAGGATGTGTTTGCATGTTAACTCTATCCAAGCCCTCTTTTACCTGCAAGGACTCTGTGTTGCTTTTTCCACGTTACATATTCTGCTTTCTAAAAAAAAAATTGCCAACGTGTAACAGAGTATATACCAAGGATGTAACTAATCATTGATTAAAATTTGATTCTTACACTTACAATACACGCACTGATTTTTCATGCAGTGGTCACCGACACGCTCAGAACGTGGACGTTAGAACACCACTCCAGTGCCCGGCGCTCGGAACTCTGCTCATGATTTGTGTTGCATATGCATTAATACAAAATGTACATTTAGGCGTAGGGGGGCTCCCTTCCACCCCCAACCCACATGGCCTCCACGTGGCCGATTTCCAAAGTGTTTTCAAGTTCCCTGCTCGATGTGACAATTTCTTTTGAGTCGAGTCAGCGAAGTTGGTGGCTCTAGCCCGCGAGTTTTTCGCGATCCAGCTCTTGGCTGCTTGTGTTTTCGTTTGTTGTCCTTCCCCCGCACCTCCGATTAGCACGGTTGGCTACGTACGGTGCGACAGAAGTTCAAACATTCAAATCGAGCGGGTGGTGTGAAAGTACGTTGGGAAGGTAGCTATGTCGTTTTTGCGCTCAGCGGATGCATTTTGTTCGTAAAAGTTTTGAGGGGCATGACAAAGATTTCACTAACAGTGACGTGGGTAATGACGGCGAGTGCGCGGAGGTTCGCAAAGTGTGAATCGCAAGCTGCATATTGTGGTCTTAAGGCGTTTTGGCTTCCACTGCTTAGGCCACTATCATAGGGCGGAGGGGAGTGTGGTAGCCCACTATCATAGGGTGGAGGGGCGTGTGGTCGCCGCAGCGCCTTGGTCACTGCTGACCGAGAAGAGAGAGCGCACAGAGTGGATGTATGGCGGTTGAAAGAGGCTGCAGGATGTGATGGTCAGTTGGGGACTCGACGTACGGTTCCGAAGGGATCCATGGCACTTCAAGTAGTCCCCCCCGAGTCTAAAAAGGGGGCTCTCCAATGGAGGTCCCCGGGATGAGCTCTTGGCCCTTGTACTTGGATGGACACCCCGGTGTGAGCGGCGCACCGCAGTGCGGGTGAAAATCGAAATCTTGTATCTAGACTGGAGGAATCCGATGAGCTATGAAGCTCTTTTTCACATGTCCAGTAGGGGCGGGTCAGTAAGTTGCAACAAAAAACACGATAGGAGTGCAAAGTTATTGGAAAGGTAAATTACACCAAAAAAAAACCTGGGGTTGACCCAGTTGGCCCTGGTGGTGACGAGACGCTGAACTGCTGAATCATGGGAGAGATAAAGACGGACCAGAGCCGTCAAGTGAGACCGGTGAGATGTGCCCATGTGATAAACACCCCACACAGTGGGGGAGGGGGGGGGCAACAACCCATGAGGGGTGAGAGACGTCTGCAGTGGACGGAGACCGATCAGGAGGACCAGAAGGGCAGCCCTCGCATGCAGAGACATGAGCTCGAAACCCTCCGTAAATGCAAAAAAAAGTTTTCATAGCTCATCAGATTCCTCCAGGATTAAAGATTTTGATTCTGAACCACCCAGTCCAGTGGACTTTTGCCAGAGCGAGTGGGGCATCGATGTGTATTCTAAATTAATGCAAATACAGGTAAATAAAACATGCATTAGCCGAGTTCCCTGGCAACTGGAATGGTGTTCTAATGCCCACGTTCGGACCGTGTCGGTGACCACTTTTGAAAACTAGATTTAACGTCGTACTCAAATCTGGTATTGTGTGTAAAAATAATAGTTTTATTCATGCGGTATGTTCATAGTTTATCGATCGCTATATCAATCCAGATGCTACTTTGCACCCAAAAGGAAAAACATTCTGAATCTGATCCTGAATTGTGACGATTCGTCAAATCGCATCCAATTTTCTGTTCTGATGTACAAACAAAAAAGTCTCAATTAATTGACTCGATTTATTGACTCAATTCATTAATTCACTAGGCTTTCCCAGATATTGCTTCTTTCATCCGTACCCTTGTCCGCTGCGATATTCCCCATATTACTGCATTGGTTTTATAGTCGGTGCGACGCACCACCAGTGGCAGCATCTACCCATTGACTCGCCCAATTTGTTGTGACGAGTGGCCCTTTGCTCAAATGAATACGGGACAGTGCATCTACCGCTTGCTGCCCTGAGCCAGTTGTGTAAACTCCATATTCCCATGGTGGGTTCGGGGGGGCAGCTATCTCCATCGGGCAACCACTTAATTTTCCACAAAGTGGTAAGCGTTTTATCGACCCCAGCGTGTGGGCCCCCCCACCGTTTGGCCGTGACCTTGTAGGCGAACGGCTGAAGGGTTCAAGGCGCCTGGCGTCGTCGAGACAATTCGGAACGCGAGCGAGCGATGACAGCTGAAAGAAGTTATGAATGAAGGTCGTACAAACACAAAATTCACGTCGACGTCCATACAATGCTGACGGTTGTGGTTTTTCGGAAGCTTAGCACTTGTCATTTATCTGTGGAAAGTTACTATTTTTGTTAAAAATTTTCTTTTCTTTTTTTAAACAATAAAAACGGACAACATTCAGCGAACGTTTGCCCGGGCGTGATTTGTACGTTTGCATGTTTTTTTTTTCTTTTCTCTTTTTCATTCAACATTTTGTGCAAATCTGTAAAATGTTAAATTACTGGTGTGTGTGTGTGTGAATACAGTTCTGCTCCACATTTTGTTTAGCATTAAAATGTCAACACATTTTTTGGGAAATCTGCGTGCAAGCCGGCATTGCTTAAGATTTAAAATTATTCTTCCTAAATTAGACCTCCACTTAACATCCAAACGGGTCTCGGCATCGTTAGTATGCACTTGTTAGCATATGGATGGTGCTTGCCAAATTGGCCGTGCAACAAAGAGCAGCTTCCCCTGCACACTTGCACAAAGCAAAGGCTCACTCCATTGCCGAATTAACCAAAGTCTGGTCAGAATTGGACAGGGTTAAAAAGTGCAGTGTGTTACTGTAAGCTACTAAATCAGGGGTCCTCAAACTACGGCCCGCGGGCCACATGCGGCCCGCCGAGGACATTTATCCGGCCCGCCGGGTGTTTTTGCCGCCGCTGCCTGTCTGTTACTTTTTTTCTGCATGAGAAGGACGGTCATTGGTGGAAGAGTGAGAGGGGGCGGAGTTCCCCCCAATCAGACTGCATTGATGGGCAGTACAGTCTGTACAGTATGTCTCTGTGCGGGCAAAGTTATTGCTGGTATATTGTTTTTGTAGCGCTGTATATATATTGGTATTTTACTAATATCAATTTTGACTCCCTAGGAAACAATGATGTCAAGAAAGAGAAAAATGCACTCGGAGTGTAGGATATTCAAAGAACAGTGGACTTATGATTACTTTTTCATGCAGTACAAGGAAAGAGCTGTGTGTCTGATATGCCAGAATATAGTGTCTGTGTTCAAAGAATACAATTTACGTCGACACTATGAAACTCAACATAAAGATAAATATGATTGTTTGGTCGGAGAAGTGAGAAAAGATAAAATACATTAACAACTCAGCAAAATACTTTTGTGAAGCAGAAGCAGCTAAATATTTCATCACTGCGAGCAAGTTTTCAAGTTGCCAAGCTAATAGCGTGCACTGGCAGACCATTCGTGGAGGGAGAATTTGTTAAAGAATGCCTTCTTTCTGTTGCCAAAGAGATGTGTCCAGAGAAGGCCGATTTATTTAGTACAGTGAGTCTTTCAGGACCTACAATTACACGGAGGATTGAAGAAATGGGAGACAATTTGCATCAGCATTTGCAAAACTCCACAAAAAAACTTTCCTATTTTTCGTTGGCACTCGACGAAAGCAATGATGTTCGTGATTCTGCACAACTTTTAATTTTTATTCGTGGGACGAATGACTATTTCGAAGTCACAGAAGAGCTTGCTGCACTGCAAAGCATCAAAGGAACAACTACAGGAGAGGATATCTATGAAAAGGTTTGCCAAACTGTGAATGGTTTGGAGCTGAACTGGGCTAAACTAGCCAGTGTGACAACTGATGGTGCTCCTAGCATGGTGGGGTCTAAGAAAGGAGTAATTGCTCGCATTAACCAAGAGATGGACAAACATAACCATTCTCATCCAATAGCCATACACTGCCTCATCCACCAACAAGCGCTGTGTAGTAAATCACTGAAGTGGGACTCTGTTATGAAAATTGTGGTATCTTGTGTTAACTTCATTAGAGCTCATGCACTAAACCACAGACAATTTCAGGAATTTCTGTCTGAGCTAAATGTTGACTATGAAGATGTTCTGTACCACACAGAAGTCCGTTGGCTGAGTCGAGGGAGAGTTTTGAAACCTTTCTATGACTTACTTCCACAGATTACAGCTTTTCTGCTTTCAAAAAACAAAGAAGTACCAGAGCTCAATGATGCAGAATGGAAATGGCACCTTGCCTTTATGACAGATGTAACAGAGCTACTCAACAGTTTCAATGTGCAACTTCAAGAAAAGGGGAAGCTCATCTGTGATATGCAATCACATGTCAAAGCATTTGAAGTAAAATTAGGCCTCCTCATCAAACAAGTGAAGGAGGAAAACTTCTGCCATCTCCCCACAACTCAAAATCTGTTAGCAGAAAAACCATTGGTTGCATTCCCAAACAAAACATGTGTGGATTCATTGGAAAAATTGCAAAAGGAGTTCCAATTTAGATTTAAAGAGCTTCATCTCCATGAACAGGACATATAGCTTTTCTGTAACCCATTTTCTATTGACATTGAAAATGTGGATACAATTTACCAAATGGAACTGGCTGAACTGCAGAATTGTG